AAAACCCAAGTAGCCAGTACATACCGGCAAGGTTGATCTTGAGGGGCTCCTGGGCGGTGAAGAGGTGCTGGACCATGTCGACGTCGTTGTTGCAGACGGCGTACATGAGGGCCGTCTTGCCGAGGCTGTCCTGCGCGTTCACGTCGCACGCGAGCCTGCCGACGGTGTGGGCCAGGAGCGCGGTGACGAACGCGGGCAGGTTGTCCTTGGCCGCGTGGATGATCGGGCGCGTCTTCTCGGCAATCTTGGCCAGCGCGTCGGTCGCCGCCTTGATCTTGCCCTCCGCGCCACTGGTCGCCTTGGCCTTGGCGTCCATCTTGGCCTTCTTCGCCTCGATAGCCTGCGCGCGTCGAATTCCAGCTGACGTCAGCACACACACGCGCGCCACGTCACCGTCACTGCGAAAAGAGCGAGAATGTACCTTCTGGGCGGCCTGGTGGACGGGGTTGGGGTAGAGGATGTTGGGGTCGGCCTTCTTGGCCATGGTGCCGCTCAGCAGCACCGACGCGATGCGCAGGTTCTGGGTGCCCACGCTGCCCTCCGTAGCGTACACCAGCGGACTGCAAACGCATTTGAAAATAAAAATACAAATTAGAATTGTAAACGAAATCAATTCAAAACATAGTCAAGAATGTGTACCTCTTGCCCTTCTTGTCGACGAGGCTGGGGTCGACGTGGCGGGTGACGAAGAACCAGACGAGGTCGTAGTAGCCGCGCCTGGCGGCGTAGTGGAGCGGGAGGCGGCCGTGCTTGTCGAGGGCGACCATGCTCACCTTGCGGGCGAGCAGCTTCTCGGCCAGGGTAGTGGCCCACTTGACGTCGAGGTTGCCCTGGGCGTAGTTGGCCAGGTGGTGGAAGAGGGTGCGGCCGTGGGCGTCGACGCCCTGCACCACCTCGTCGCGCTTGGTCTTGGACAGGAGCGTGACCACGAGCTGGAACTTGCCGGTGTTGATGGCGTCGATGAGGGCCGTGAGCTTGTCGAGGCCGGCGTCGAGCATCATGTAGGATACGCCCTGCCAGCCGTTGACGACGGCCACGTAGAACATGGAGCGGAAGTAGCGCCCGGTCTCGACCTCCACCTTGTCCTTGGGGTCGGTGGTGCCCTCGCGCTGGCGCCACTCGCGGGTGACGTAGTGGATCGGGTGGCGCACGTCGGCCTTCTTCTGGAGGAGCATGATGGCGTAGTCGCCGTGGCCGCTCTTGATGGCCACGCCGAGCGGCGTGTTGCCGTCGCGGTCCTCGTGCTCGAGCGCGGCCTTGCGGTTGAGCAGCAGCAGCGAGCAGGTGGTGGCGCCGCGCTGGGCGGCGTAGTGCAGCGGCGTGCAGCCGTGGTGGTCGGCCGGGTCGATCTCGAGCTGGTCCAGGGCGCACAGCGACGAGATGGTCTCGATAGGGTCGATGCTGCTCGTCTGGCTCGCCACGTCGTGCCCGATCTTGACGAAGGCGTAGTGCATCGGCACGCGGCCGTGCTTGTCGCGCTGGTTGACCTCGGCGCCGTGGCTCAGCAAAAAGTCCTCCATCTCGAACGACGCGTCGGCGCCCGAGTCGGCGGCGTTGACGGCGTAGTGCAGGCCGTTGCGGCCGTTGTCGTCGACCGCGTTGACGTTGGCGCCGGCCGCGACCAGCGCCTGCACGAGATCCATGTGCTTGCGCTGGAGCGCGTAGTGCAGCGGCGTGCGCTCGTTCTTGTCGCGCACGTCGACGTTGGCCTTCTTGTCCAGCAGCGACTTGACGAACAGCATGTTGAGGTTCGCCACGGCCTGGTGCAGCGGCGACGCGCCGAACCTGTTGGCCAGGTTGACGTTGATCGCCTTGTGCGCCAGCAGGATGGGCAACATCTCCTGCACGCAATGTGCCGTTAGCATACAACACGCAACACACGACACACGACACACAACACATGACAAACACACGACACGCGCAAGTGCGACGTACGGAGCGGGAGTTGGTGATGGTGAGGAGGAGCGGGGTGTCCTTGCCGTCAAAGTCCTGGGCGTTGACGTCGAGCTGGTACTTGTCGAGCAGGAGCTTGACCAGTTCGGTGTCCTTCTGGCCCACCAGGAAGTGGAGCGCCGTGCGCAGGCCCACTCCGGCGCTGTACTGCGGCGGAGGCTTGTTGGCGTTGTTGCTCTGGTCACCACCGCGGGACTTCTTCGCCGGCCGGCTCTTAGACTTCTTCCTAGACCAGCCACCGTCATCAGAATCGTCGTCTTCGTCTTCATCGTCGTCTTCGTCCTCGTCCTCGTCCTCGTCCTCGTCCTCGTCCTCGTCCTCGTCCTCGTCCTCGTCTTCATTTTCGTCTTCGTCGTCATCGGAGGTGATCTCCCGGCGCTTCTTCTTCTGCGTGGGCGGGTCCTGCTCCATCGGGTCCTCGGCCTCGGCGGCCAGCTCGTCGGCGGCCTCGGCCAGCAGACTCGTCTCGCTCTTGTTCTCGGCGCCGGCGGCCTCGGCCTTCTCCTTGGCCTCCTTCTTCCGCTTCTCGACGTAGTCCTTCCACTCCTTGGTCCGCTGCACGGGCAGCGCGGGGTTGACGCCGCCGAGCTCGATGAATCGCTCCAGGAACTGGCGGAACTTCTCGCGCGCCAGCTGCTCCAGCTGCAGCCTCTCCTGCGGCGTCAGGCTGGAATCTGGAGAATGTTGATCATCAAGGAATGTTGGCGTCAGGGACCATTTGACCACCAAAAAAAGAACTCACTCACTCAAACCCAACTTGCGCGCGGGTCGTACCGTCGCGGGCCTGGTGGTGGTGCTGGTGCTGGTTGAACTGACCGAATCGGGCCATCTTTTTGGGGGCATTCCCGGGCCATACCTTGCGAGCAGTTTGCTTGGTGCGCGCACCTGCGTGCGACAACGATTCAAGTTAACAAAGCAGGAGCGGTGTGTGTGTGTGTGTGTGTGTGTGTGTGTGTGTCGTGTCACACAACTAAGAGAGCAAGGCACTGTACCACCGCGCAGGTGGGTGAGGTTGGCGGGCACCCAGGAGGCGTAGTGCTGGATGAAGCGGAGGAACGGGGTGAAACCCTCGTGGTCGACCTCGTTGGCCATGACCTTGAACTGCTCGGCCGAGGACTTGGCGATGAGCTCGATCAGCGGCATCACGTTCGTCTTCATCAGGTGCGGAGTCAGCTGGTGCAGAATGTTCTGGCCCGAGTTCTGTGTTCACACCGCACAACACGACACACAACACGACACAGGCATGCGTGAGCGGTCTATCGATTCACACATGAATCGATTCAGTAGTGGCTGTCGGGGGACAAACCTTGTCAAAGGCCGAGGTGGCCTGGGCGCCGTGCTCGAGCAGGAGGGCGATGAGCTCCTCATTGTAGTGCTGCATGGCAAACAGGAAAGGCGTCTCCTTTTCCTACACGCATGCCAGTGATGACAAGCCAAGAGGCGGTCAGCGATCGCAATAATAAGCAACGCAAAGCAAAGCAAAAGTGGAACTCAAATATATTAACATGTTTGTTGCAAGAGGAGGACGTACGGTAGTGATGGCGTTGACGTCGGCACCCTTCTTGATGAGGACCTTGGCTATCTCCACGCTCCAGTTCTTCTTCTTCGGCTTGGCCGCGGGCTGCTTGTCACCGCTGGGTTCTTTGTCGGCCTTCTCCTTGCCCTTGGCCGCAGACTTCTTCCTCGGCGCCGCCTTCTTCCTCGACCTGCCCGACTCCTCTTCATCTTCATCCTCCTCCTCCTCCTCCTCCTCCTCCTCCTCCTCCTCCTCCTCCTCGCCTTCTTCCTCTTCCATCGCATCTTCATCCTCCTCGTTCTCTTCATCCTCATCCTCTTCGTCGTCGTCGTCGTCGTCGTCGTCGTCGTTGTTGTTGCTGTTGTCGTTGATGTCCTTGCGCGGGTCGTAGTTCTTGGCGAGGTGGTGGAGCGGGGTGTAGCCCTGGGCGTCGGCCGTGGTGACGTCGGCGTCCTTCTTCTCGAGCAGGTAGTTGAGCTGCTTGAGCGTGGAGTCGGTGATGACCTCCATCATCTGCGCGACGAGGGTCTTGCCGTCGTCGTCGCGGATGTTGACATCGACGCTGTCCTGCTCGAGCAGGTAGTCGGCGATGGCCATGTGGCCCTTCTGCATGGCGATGCCCAGCGGCGTGGTCTTCCAATCGTTGGGCGCGTTGGGATCGGCGCCGCGCTTGATCAGCAGCTTGAGGCACTCCAGCCAACCGAAGGCCGCCGCGTAGTGCGCCGCCGTGTTGTTCGACGAATCCGCGCAGCACGCGTCCGCACTCTGCAAACACATTCGTAATTAAGGTTTTGTTTGCATAAATTATTTACAAATACTGAAACAAAACAAATAATAATGAAATATAAAAACAAATCGTACCATGCGGAGGAGGTAGCCGAGAACGACGAGCTGGCCGTTGCGCACGGCGTGGATGACGGCGGTGCGCTTGAGCTTGTCGGCGGCCTCGATGTTGCACTGGCCCTCCTCGACCAGGACCTTAACGACGTCCAGGTGGCCGAGGACGACGGCGTGGTGGAGCGGCGTCATTTTCATGGCGTCGGGGCACTCGATGTTGGCGCCCTTCTCGATGAGCAGCTTGACGGCCTCGACCTGGTTCTGGCGCACGGCCAGGTGGAGCGCCGTGTAGTGCGTGCCCTTGGCCTTGCAGTCGATGTAGGCCACGGCCTTGGCCTTGGGCTTCCTGCGCGGCGCCTCCTCCTCCTCCTCTTCCTCCTCGTCGCTGCCCTTCTCGCCGTCCTCGTCGTTCTCCTTCCCCTTCTCCATCTCCTCGTTCTTCTTCTGCTCCCAGTCGAGCAGGAGCTTGACGTTGTCGAGGCGGCCCCACTGCGCGGCGATCATCAGCGGCGTGGTGAGCTCCATATCCACCTCCGTGTGGCTGATGCCGCGCTCCAATAGGAACTGGATCGTGCATAAAAAGTCGTCCAATGAGAACATAGGTTAGTTATCATTAAGTGTTGGCTGGTTGCACGTGAACCAGACAACCAATGAAAGTGAAGGAGGGTTACCTTGAGCGGGTCAGGGCCGGTGCAGGCGGCGGCGTAGTGGATGGGCTGGCGCTTCATCGAGTCGGGCAGCCTGTCTTCGGACTTGGCCGAGAGCAGCTCCTTGAGGTACTTGACGTTGGGGTTGATGGCGGCGCAGTGGAACGGCGTCATGGTGTTGTTGCCGATGGGCTTCTTGCCCACCGATTGGATCCTGTGCACATAGGATTGCATCGATCAATACCGCGGCGTTGACAATAATGCATCACTGCCGGTTGAGGAATGGGAGGAATGCACGTACTTGTACTGGTCGAAGGCCTTGCCGTCGTTGAGCAGAGCCTGCTTGTGGAGGAAGTTGAAGCCATACCCGCCCCTGCTCTCGAACCATTCGACGAAGAAACCGGCCAGCTTCCTGTTGCCCGCCTGCGCTCCCACGACAGAGGTTTAAAAAAAGAAGAAAAAAGAAAAAGAAATAGTAAAGAAAAAGAAATACAAAAGACAAAAGGGTGGCAGTACGTAGGCAGCCAGGTAGATGTAGTTGGATACGGCGCTCTCGAAGTCGGGGTAGTTGAGAATGAGCCAGTCGATGGTCTCCTTCTTCACCTCGGGGCTCTGCATGAGCACCCGGATCATGGCTTCGGTCTCCACGTAGGTGTTGTTCTGGTACTGCTGCGTGTCGGACGCGAAGGCGTTGTTGCCCTCCTTGCCGCCTCGCGAAGCCGCCACCTTGCGCACCGCGTGCCCCTGATTTTAAAAAATGTTGAATTATTACGGCCATAATATAAATTGTTTATTATTTGTTGTTATTTATTTAATAAATTAGTTATTTTTAAACTATTCCCTTGGGCAAAGAAAAACGTACGAAGGTGTGGAAGTTGTAATCGCCGGAACCCATGGTCTTCAAGCTGACCTGGGTGGGCTTGGCGCGCTTCAGCTGGTGGATGTTCTTGATGGCCTCCACGATGAGCTTGAGCGCGTCGATGTTGTTGGTCTTGACCGCGTACTCGAGGCACGTCAGCTCCTCCGAGGCGCTGCGCGGCACAAAGAGCGAGTGCACAAAGTCGTTGTCCGCAATCACCTGTTCACACGCGACAACACACAACACAATCAGCCAACGTTCGCGCGTGTGTCGTGTCGTGCACGGTGGTGTGTGTCGTGTCATTGCGTGTGCGTACCTTCTTGAGCAAAGGCATGTCGTTGGCGAGGACGGCACGGATGGCCTCCCTGCTGCTGCAGAGCGTGCAGCACTTGTTGCGCAGCTCGCCGTCGGCTTCGTCGAAGGTCGGGTCCGACGTCACCTTCTTGACCGTCTTGTCCAGCTCGCCCACGCGCTTGCCGCGGCGGCGTGTCGTGCGCGCGCGCTTGGCCGGGCGCTTGGTGTCCTCGCCGCCGTCGTCGTCATCGTCGTCTTCGGCCGTCTTCCTCTTACGGCTGCGCGGCTTCGCGCTGCTGCCGCTTCGGCTGCGGCCTCCGCCGCTCGACCTGCCGGCGCCGGCGCCGATCCGCCTGGCCGTGCTGCGCTTGGCGGCCTGGACGCGAGCGCCGCGGTGGGCGTTGGCCTTGACGGCCTTGCCGGGCGCGAAGGTCGGGTCCTCGATCTTCTCGAGCCGCTCGAGCAGCTTGTCCTGCTCCTCTTCCTCCTTTACGATCTGCGGCCTGCTCAGCGCCTTCTTAAGCACGGGCTTCTTCTTGCTGCCCTTCTTCTTCTTCTCGCCGTCTTCGCCTTCGCCGTCGTCTTCGTCTTCGTCTTCGTTCTCCTCGGCCTCGGCTTCGGCGTCGTCGGCGGACTTCTTCTTGCCCTTGGCCGGCTTCTTCTTCTTCTGCGCGGCGGCGGTGGCGGCCTCCTCTTCCTCCTTCTTGGCGGCGGCTTCCTCCTCCTCGGAGTCAAGCGCCTTACGCTCGAGGATGCGCTGCCTCTCGGCCTCCGACAGCAGCATCGTTTCGTTGTCCTTACCACCGTCCTGTCAACACACAACGTAACAATTAAGTACTGCATGTGTGCGGTGTGTGCGCGTGCGGTGGTGTGCACACTGACCTTGAGCGCGACGCGGCAGATGATGGAGCCACAGGGGATGGTGTCGAACTCCTCGAACTCCCACGCGGACTTGTCGTTCTCCTCGACGGGCTCCAGCCACAGGACGTGCACCACGCTCTGCACCTTGGCAAACACGTCCTCGCGCAGCTGCGCCAGGTAGAACTCCTCCTCGTCCGTCTCGGGGTTCACCGCCACGAACTCGTTCGCGCCTGCCCAACCACAAATTATAAATTAAATTTTAAAGAATAAAAATAAAATAATAATTTTAAAATAATAAAGTTACCGTATTTGGGCTTGAGGTCGTTGAGGAAGGTGAGGGTGCTGTCGGGCACCTCCTCCTCGGGCTTGATCCTGCGCGTGGCCGCACCACGGCGCTCGCGCAGCTTGCCCAGTTTCTGTGTACAGCGAACCATTCAAAGTCAGCATCGCGTTGTGTGTGGCCGCACTTGCAGGCAAGCTGATGATCCAACTTCGCCGTCACCCGGTTGGCCGGGCGACGTTTGTTGTCGACACACTACGCGCGGGAAGTGGCCACCTTCGCAGTGAAAAGCGAAGCCGGAGAGATCGAGATAGAGAAGGAGAGGGCGGGCGGGGGAAGTGAGGGGGTTACCTTGGTTCCTTCGTTGAGGGCCTGGAACTCTTCGTAGAGCGAGGGCTTCAGGCCACGCCGGCCCTTGGAGCTCTTGGAGCCCTCGTCGTCCTCCTCCGACTCATCGCTGCCGTCGTTCTCGGACTCCTCCTCGGCCACCTTGCGCGCCGACCGCCTGCGCGACGCCGCCGGGACGGCCTTGCCCTTGGTGCTCTTCTTGGGCGTGGCGGGCGCCTCCTTCTTCTTCACGGCGGCGGCGTCGTCGTCGGCCTCAGCCTCGTCGTCGGCCGGTTTGGCCTTCTCCTGGCGCTTGCGCTTCTTGCCGCCCTGGGGCTCGGCCTTCTCCTTCTGCGACGGCGAGGTCTCGGCCTCTTCTTCATCATCCATCTCGCTGCCGGCTTCCTTGGCCTTTTTAGTGGACTTCTTCGCGGCGGGGGGCGCCTTCTTCTTCGATGAGGATGAGGTGGTCTTGGCCTTGGTCTTCTTCACCTCCTGCTCCTCTTCTTCCTCTCCTTCCTCGCCTTCATCTTCAGCAGAAGATGCCGCAGCGGCCTCTTTCTTTTTCGCAGTGCGCTTGGCCTTCGACGATTTCTTGGAGGCGGCACCCTTCTTGGGGGTGGAGGTGATCGTCTCCTCCTCCTGCTCCTCCTGCTCCTCGAGGTCCATCGCCTCCTCCTCCACCACCGGGGCGGCCTTCTTGCTCTTCGAAGCCGCAGACGCCTTCTTCCCGCGCTGACTCATCTTCTCCCGATTTTACGCGCTACTCGAATTCTCTGCGCCGGCCCGATAATTGACGCAAATGGAGTGTCCAATCGCGTCCGCTGAACACGAAAAATGAGGGGAGAGATGAACTGAAGATGAAGTAGTGAGTCGCGGGCGAGTCGCGGGCGCGAGGTCGGGTGAGGTCTCCGGTAGAGAAGTGAAAATGTGCCGGCTCAGCCCCGCCTTTTATTGAGTCGCAATTTTGGGGTGGGTCGCAGCGCCATTGGCCGGCAGTTCCTCTTCGACGAAGTCTTTGGCCTTCCACCTACTTTTTTGATTTGGGCATCGCCTTCCTAGAAATAAGAAGTGCAGCCTCCCCCAAGAGCTTCAACTGAACTTGGCTAAGGCCATGTGCGGCCGAGGGTGGGTGATGTTCTGGTGGTGGGCCGGCGCATGACAAGAGCAGGGTGATGGCAGTACGTCGGTGCTGTGCTAATGTTGCGCCGGGCAAAGAGGGGAACAGTCAAAAGCAAGAATGTAGTTTCCCTCAGTGTTTCATTCTAATTTTTTCCTGGCAAATTTTGCCCTACGAAGCAACGGTCGATTTGACTGCTAAATTTCGTTCATGAGCGAAATTTGAGGTGGCCGGTGGAGGTGGGTGCCGCACCGACATGTCCTTCGCGCCGGTGGCTTGCGGGGAGAAAGGAGTCCAAACTCCTTCGTGTAAGGCCCTGGCGTTGACGCCGATGCGAACTACCTCCCGTGCCGCACAACGCCGGATGGAGCGTTGCTGCAGGCGGCGATTGGCTGGTGCTCCGCATAAAACCCTCGCGAGCTCGGCGGGCAATACAATATTCATCACTTTCTTTACCATCACTGCCTGATATACCTAAATACCCTCAACACTCTACCACCATGTCGCGCTTGTTCTTCATCCAACTCGTGGCTGTCGTCGTCGCCTTCGTGTTCGCCTTCGCTGTCTTGGCCGACGCTCAGGCGACGCCCTCGCCCTCGGCTTCGCCCTCGGCCCTTCCCTCTGCCCTGCCCTCGGCCGCGGCCTCTCCCTCGCACTCGCCCAAGGCCTCCACCGTGCCCTCGTCCTCGGCCTCGTCGCTCAACGGTTTCCTCTTTGAGGCCATCTCTCACCTCTTTTAACAAAGCCGTCCTGTCCCATAGCCTTGTTACATTACATTTAAATGAATAGAAATAACTACATGTTCGTTACCCAATCTCTAATATATCATTGACAACTTTTTTTATTATTATTTTCTTAATGTTAGAAAAAAACAAAAGTATTAGAATTCATACAGGCGAATGTGGTCTCTCGCTCACACCTGGAAGTGGGCGCGGAAGTTGATGTAGTTGTTGAGGTTGTAGAGGTTCTGCATGGCCAACCGGCGCCCGAAGCTGTCGGATGACAGGAGGCCGGACAACGCGACGGGCGTCTTCTCACCGTACTCGCGACCGGATTTGGTGTCATGCATCGAGCACCAGAGCCACATGCGCCTCACATCCACGTTCGTGCTATGCGTGTTGCGTGCGCGTGTGCGGCAAAGTATGAGATCTCACTACAATCTGAACTCACGACACATGAAAGACGACACGACCAACGACACGACACGACCAACGACATGACACACACGAAGAACTGCTGGCGAGCGACTACGCACAAGGTGAAGGACTGATGCCAGGCAGGCCTGCAGGTGCTGAGTTCGGCGTGAGTCGTTTCCACTTGCGTCTGACCACCATTGCGGCCTTCGATCAAGCCCAGCTGGACGACTGTCGCCGTCGGCCTGCAACCGAATTTCCTTGTTCAGATCGGGTACGTACACAACGATACGACACACGACTCACACTACACGCACGACACGCACAACACACACAACACACGACACACTCGACACACTCGACACACGACACACACGACACACGACACACACAAGCGAGTTACGCACGTCCAGGGGCAGTCAGCTTGAATGTAGCCATCCACCACTGCAGTGCAGAGGGGGGGGGGAAATCGGTCAATAAGCGGAGCTACCTTTGAAAGGCTCTAAAAACAGTGCAGAGTGGGCGTGCGGGTGTGCGGTTGCGCGTACCGGTCACGGTCAAGGTGCCCACGCGTGGCACCTTCTGCTGGGGCTGTTGCATCCTGAGGTACAGCGGCGTGGCGTGCTCGAGCCACTCTATCTTCTCCACAATTCCAAACGCTGTAATCATCCTGCGTGTGTGTGTGTGTGTGTGTGTGTGTGTGTGTGTGTGTGTGTGTGTGGGTGTGTTGTTGTTGTTGTTGTTGTTGTTGTTGTTGTGTGTGTGTGTGATGAGTGCCTGGTGCCGGTGGTGAGAAAAAGTAGGTGGTACCCGTTCTCGTAGTTGACAATGCGACCGAGGTGTCCATCGGAGCTGTGGGTCTCCAGGTAGAGAGGCTCGCGCGGAGTGAGCCTCACGGTGCCGGCCTCGCCTCTGCGCAAAAACTGCGGCGACTCCTCAATCACCGCGCCCGTCTTCTTGTCCGTCTTGTTGTTGTTATTGTTGTGGTTGTTAGTGTTGTTCATCGCACGCAACGTCAGAGAACACGACACACACATTACAAACACACGACACTCAAAAAAAAAAAAAAAGAGTGTGTACCTTGGTCAGGAATTCCCACCGGCAGCACACAGCTGCTGTGTGGCAGCGAATGACGCTCTCGTATCGGTTGCGGATGCGCCCGTGGAGCTGCACCACGATGACCTTGGCCTCGAAGGAAGCCACCTGTCGCATGGGCGACAGCTCGCCCGTCCGTCCCATGACCACACCTCGCCGCACATACCTGTCATACCAGCGGCCGACCCGATGAGGCACTGAAACGAAAGAACGAACGAAGAGCGAAGAGTGAAGGAAAGAGTGAAAGAAAGAGCGAAAGAAGGAGAAGGCGCGCACTCTCTCTTGAACGAAGTGAGTTGGGTGGCGGGCAGGTGGCTCGCGCCGGGAAAGGACCGCCGTCTATCGAAGCGCACGAGCAGCCCGACGCGCGCGCACGGACCGTAGGCCATCGGCAGGTTCCGGTTGTTAAGCTGGATCTCCACCACCGTCACCGCCTCCACTCCTGTTGTGTGTGTGGTGTGTGGTGTGTGGTGTGTGGTGTGTGGTGTGTGGTGTGTGGTGTGTGGTGTGTGGTGTGTGGTGTGTGGTGTGTGGTGTGTGGTGTGTCGTGCGCCGATAGTGGTTGTTCACTGACGTCAGCCCTGCAGCGCGCTTTACCACAGCCTTCCGCCCTCCGCCCCCCGCCCCTCGCCCCCGCTCTCCGCATTCCGCCCTCCGCCTCCGCACAGCGACCGGGGCACACGAACCGAGCGGGGCAATGACGAGCTCGTCGCCAACGCATACCATGCCGCACATGATGGTGCCCACCACCACGGCTTCATCGCCCGACAGGCCCCATATGCCGTTCTTGGTATCGACCGACCGCCCGTGGGTCACCTTGCGCACGCACAACCGCAGCGGCCGCGCCACCGACTGTGCGACCGCCCGTGCACCGCGCACGACCGTGGTCAGAGCTCAGGTGGTGCGCAGTAGTGGTAGTCAGGTGGTGGTGCGCTCGTACCAGATTCCAGAGCAAGCGCAGGCTGTTGATGGAGGGCAGCGAATCGACGGTTCGCTGCAGGGCCGAGAGCAGCGTCGGGCCGTCGTACCACGGGAACTCGGTCTGGGGGTCGCGCCGCACGATGTTGGTGCCGCGGGCGGCCGAGATGGGCACGAACTGCGTGGCGCCGGGCGGTACTCCCGCTATCGCCAGCGAGCGGCTCAACTGCAAGGCGCGCGTGTGCGGACGCAGTCAGCAGCTTGCTCGGCTGCGGAAAAGTCAAATCGATTTGAAGAGATCTCAGCAGAGGAAGTGTACCTGCGCCACGAGTTCGTCCATGCGTGCGCTGTTCGAGTTCCACTGATCAGCGCAGCTGTCCGTTTTGTTGATTGCCACCTATGCACCACACACACGACACACGACACACACACACACACACACACACACACACACACGCTACAAGAGTCAGTCTTGGAGAGGCGCTTGCATGTACGTGTGAGCCGCGGCGCGCACCACGAGGTGCTTGATTCCGGCAACGACGGCGGCCAAGGGCTGCTGTCGCGATCCAGCGCCCGCATCTCCTTCCTCCGAAGAGACCACGAGAACGCAACAGTGGGCTCCGACGAGGTTCCGCCAAAAGTTCTTCACGTACGCCCGGTCGCCTTTCACATTGACGCAAAGCACATTTGAAGCCAAAGTGTAAGTTAATCGTCATCTTCATCTTCATCATCTGCATCTTCTTCTTCTCGTGGTCAACTCGAGAGAAAGAAAGGGAGGAGAAGAGCGGTACAGGGAAGGTCGACGAGGGTGAGATGGCAGCGCGACTCTTGTAGGAGCAGCAGCTCCCCGCAACGGCTCGCGCGTGTGGGCTCCCGCTGAAGAGTTTGCTGTACTCTCGCGTGCCTGCCCGAGTGCAATGCGCACACGATGAGTGTGTGCGGTGGTGCGTGTGTCGTGGTGTGTGTGTGTGTGTGTGTGTGTGTGTGTGTGTGTGTGTGTGTGTGCATGCGAACGCACTCGGCAATCGCTGGAAGGGCCAGATCATCGGTCGCCAGTGGGTGGAGCGCGCGCAGGAGATCGAACAGGGTGCTCTTGCCGCCGTGGCTCTGGCCCAGGAGCGCCACCGTGGCGTGCTTCGTGCGGCGCGCCAGCGCAAAGTAGGCCTCCTTCCACCGATCCGCCACCACCTGACTCTAGAGACACGCTCGCCCGAGGAGGTGAGCGCCCCAGGCCAGCGGCATGAAGTAGAGCGAGTAGCGCGCCGGGGGGGGGGTACCAGAGGGGCTTGGACGGGCAGGTGGGCGAGGAGGCGGTGGACGAGGGCCTTCCACAGGGCAGGGTCGCTGGCGAGGGCGGCCCATTGGCGGCACACGAGCGCGCACGACGACGCCACCTGGTGCCCGTCGCCCAAAGCCACCAGCACACCCTGCACCACCTCTGTCCCCAAAGCCCACAAATTAATCCAATCGTTGTATTCCATTCGTATTTGCAATCTGACATAGCGGGCACGACGTTGATTAGAACGGGCAAGGAAGCAATATACCAGGAGGCAACGAGTCCATGCAGCTGTTCGCAGAGATATTTATGAAATAAAAACCTGATCAAGAACAAGTTTGTCGGAGACAAAACAAATTGAACGGAGTGGGATTTGAACCCACGCATCCGAAGATAACAGTGCCTTAAACTGTCGCCTTAGACCGCTCGGCCATCCGTCCCGTTAAAAGTGCATGCAACAACATCCTCGTGGAGATAAAACTGGCTGCTTTGTCCCATTCGACCTTGCCTGCTGGCATCTTGGAGTTGGAGCGGTAATCCCGTTGGTACATGTTGCATCGAAGGTTTGTCAGGCGACACGAAGCCGTCCGTTCTCTTTTTCTTTTTATCTTTTCTGTTGGGCCAAAGCGCTAGGCGAGTGTGCCGACGAAAAACAATAGGGCCAGGCAAGGGATGTGAGATGCGGACTCGTGCCCGCGCCCCACTCTCTCTATACCCCGCGATCCCGTTCCCCCTTTATTCCCTCTCCCTAGCTCCGACCTCCTTTATCCAGACCCGAGTTTGTGTTGGTCAGTGGCCTATTCTTCCCACATATAAACTTCTTCTATCCATTCTCCGGCCTCCTAGTACGCATACGTCCAGAACCTCACGCGCACCGCGTGTCACTTTGGCGACAACGGCTAGCGTATGTCTGTACGGTTGGCCAAGAAAACCAAGAAGACCGGAGCTTTAATCGTTGAGGCGGACGCCGCGGGCCCTGCGGCAGCCTCGGACGACGGCGACGTTATCGACGCGGACGGTGAGAGCGAAGCATCCGGCGAGAGCGAGGCGTCTGGCGAGAGCGATTCGGGAGGGGAAGAACCAACGGACGATTCCAAGGGCAAGGGACCGGACTCCTGTACGACCCCACCCGTGTCTAGCATGGAGGGGCTTGGAGGTCCATCCGCGTCCAGCAGTTTGGGGGCGGTGGAGGGTCAGGACGGCCTCGCGTCCCTGATGGAGCTGCTCAGCTCTGGAGCGCTGTCACCTAGCGTGCTCAGCGAGTGGGCCGCGGCGAAGGCTACGGCCAAGGGGAGCAGCAAGTCGACACCGCGGGGCAAGCCCAAGGTGCCGTTCAAGCAGCCGCCTGCCTTCTCAGGCGTGGACGGCGAGGATTTCTACACGTGGAAGGACCAGCTGCTCACCACGCAGGTGTTGCACGACTACGACGACAGCGAGTTTGCCCCCGTCGTGGCCTACGCCCTGGCCAGCGCGGCCATGAAGTGGATGAGCGTGCAGCCGGCTACCACCACGCGTAGCGCTACAGCCCTGTTGGAGGGACTCAAACGGCGGTACGGCCTGCCCACCGTGGAAGCTCTTGCGCGTCACGTCCAAGCATGCTGGCAGGAAAAAGGCGAGCAGGCCAGCGACTTTTGGTTGCGTATCGGTAAGGAGGCGGCTCGCTTGGGTAGCAAGGCCAGGGCCCTTGTTGATCTGAACGAGCTCTGGCGCAGCGGCCTGCGCCAGGACCTCTGTAACTACATTGACCTCTTCCCACTGGTCAATTATGAGGCACTCTGGGATCAACTTGACCGCTATGAGTCCAACAAGATTGCCCAGCAAGCAGCAGCCGTCATGGCCACCGTGCCTACGAGTCCATTGGTGGTGGAGCAACTTGCTGTGCTCACGGAGGCTGTGGTGCGGCTCACAGCAGAGTGATCAGTGGAGCAGTCAGTGGTGCCAGGGCGGTCACCCATGCAGTGCTGGCACTGTTGGCAGTCAGGCCATCGCAGGGCGGAGTGCCCACAACTCCACAGAGCAAGTGCGCCACCGGGCTTGAGCAGTGGCCCGTCAAGGTCAATGGCGGCGGCCGACAGTGCGGCGGCGCACACGCAGTGGGATGCAGCCGTTTCAGCCAGAGGAGGAGCTGCATTGGGGCCGCACACGCCCACATGGGGCAGACCTGCTGCCACTGCAGCAGCACCACAGTCAAACTAGCCAGCAGCGCCGACGGGGCCGCGTCAAGCGCCACCATCGCTGAGCAGCCACATGTGGAGATAGCAGTGGAGGAGTTAGGACAGGTGGCAAAGCACCCAGGGGAGGAGCACACGGAGCCAGTACATTGGGCTGTGGCCAGCGAACCAGCACCTGGAGCAGCACAGGAGGACTGTGCCAGGGCCAAGAAGGCTGAGCACATGCTGCCACCAATGAGGAGCATTGGAGCAGGCGCACACAGTAGCGCAGGAACCACAGCAGTTGCGGAGGGCAGAGACAGCTCAAGCAAGGGGTCACTGAAGGTCGCAACCATCCAGCCTGCGCCTATCATGGACGACACCAACAATGAGACAGCCAACACAGCGCCCATCCACATCCAGGCCATGGTGGGACTAGTGGCCATGCAGGTCATCATCGACACAGGGTCAGGCCACTCCTTCATCTGCAAGGACACATTGAGCAACATCAAGGTGTTTGGACAGCGACCTGTGCTGCGGCCATGGCAGTACAGACGCCCCTTGGGCATTGGCAGGGGCACCCTGGACGTCGTGGCAAGCACAGTACTGCAGCTGCGGATCGGCGGGGCGCAAGCAGCAGTGCGGTTCGCAGTTGTTCAGGGCCAGGTCCCAACACTGGTGGGCAACAATGCCCTCTGACGCCTGGGCAGGCTTAGCGTGGACTATGATGGACAGGCCATTGTACTTGGGAGTGAGAGGGTGCTGTTTGAGCTGCCCTGCCTGATCTACACTGTGGATACAGTCAATGAGGTCACCCTCCCACCAATGACCATTGCCTTGGTGGAGTGTCAAGTGGGCAGCTGGCAGCCAGGTAAGCTGCCCATGGACGACAGCGTGCTGGTATCCACAGTCAACCCCACCATGCTGTTTGACCCCACTTCAGGATTGGCGACTGCACAAGGGCTGACCACAGTGTGGAAGACAGAGGACAGCATGCGCATGTGGGCACATGTATCAAACCCCACCAAGGCCATGGCCAGCCTCTGACTGGGCACACAAGTCAGTGTAGCAGAGCCCATTGTGGAGCCCATTGTTGTCCCAGTGTTTGGCGCTGAGGAAGCAGGGCTGGTGCTGGAGCGATTCAAGTGGGACCCCACGCCCACAGCCAGCGAGGTGAGATTGGGTCTCAGCACTGCAGAGGCTGATGGGCTGGTGGCATGCGCTGACCCTGACCTCACCCATGCTCAGAAGGAGTGGCTGTGTGGCCTCCTGCTCAGAAATGGGGACCTGTTCAGTGTCAAGTTGATGCCAGGGCAGGCCCTGGCCATCCCACACAAGATCAATACGCAGGGGCACTGGCCCATCAAATGCCATCCCTACTGGTCATCACTCAAGGAGTGTGAGGTCCTTGAGTCCAAGGTGGAACGGATGCACCACGCCAGTGTCATGTGAGAGTCCAACAGCCCCTGGTCGTTCCCCATTGTCCTTGTGATCAAGAAGGATGGGTTGTGATGCTTCTGTGTGGACTATCAAGACCTCAACTGCATCACTAAGCACAACACTTACCTGCTTCCCCTCATTGACGAGCTCCTCAATCACATGGGCGGCTCCATCTACAGGTCCAGCATGGACCTGATATTGGGCTACTGGCAAGTCGCCCTCCACAAGGAGGACAAGGAGAAGACAGCCTTCTCCATGGGCAGCGGCCTCTACAAGTTCAACGTCATGCCCTTTGGGTTGACCAACACGCTGGCCTTGTTCCAGCGGAACATGGAGGCCCTACTCAGTGGCCTCACATGGTTGTGCTGCCTCATCTATATAGACAATATCATCATCTACTCACAGACCTTTGAGGAGCACCTGGTGCACCTGCAGTCCATCTTCAACCACCTGTGGCAAGGGTGGATGTACCTGAAGCTGAGCAAGTGTGTCTTCTTCTGCCAAGAGCTGCTATTCCTCAGGCACCTCCTGATGAAGGAGGGCTTGAAGCCAGACCCCACCAAGGTCACCACCATTCAGGACACATGGCCACCATGGTTGGTCCAGGAAGTGCACTGCTTCCTTGGACTGGCCAACTACTATCAGTGGTTCATCAAGGGATTCACTGAGATCGCCAAACCACTACATTGGCTCATGGGCAAGCATGTAGCATTCCAGTGGGAGCAAGCACACCAGGAGGCCTTCAAGACGCTGAAGCAGCGCCTCACCAACGCGCCCATCATCATCCAACCAAGGCAGGATCAGCCCTACACACTACACATGGATGCCTCAGCGCACACCATCAGTGCAGTGCTCACCCAGCCAGACGACAAGGGACACAAGTGCATCATCGCATATGGAAGCCAGACGCTGAAGGACGCCAAACACCACTACTCACCAACGCACCATGAGTGTCTGGCAGTGTTCAAGTGGGTAAAGGCATATCAGCACTACCTCCACAGCCACCACTTCACGGTGGTCACTCATGTGGATTAGCACCCAACATGACCCCACCAATCAACTCTCAAGGTGGGTGCTCACTCTACAAGAACACAACTTCAACATTCAGTACCAGCCAGGCCTACACCATGCAAATGCCAACGCCATGACACATGGGCCCATCAACAATGGAGAAGCCCATGTTGAACAGCCAGGGCTGGTCGCAGCAGTGATGAGGGGGTTGAAAAACCCCTCTGGTTGTACACGCTACAGCCACGACGAGGGAGTGGTCAGGTGGTCCAGTCAACAGTCAGCACGCAGCACCAATGGGGCAGCACAGCCAAGTAGAGAACTGACAACCCCACTGACCACTGATGCCGCGCCCAGCTCCCCAACCAGTGCTGCGCCACCGCCGCAGGAGGACCAATCAACGCTGCAAGGGGAAGCGCTGATCAGGGAGGAAGACCCTGATTTGCTGGTGTTAGCCAAATGAGAGGACGACATGGAACAGGAGAGCCCCATGACCAAAGAAGAGGTCAAGCACAAGGAACTCTCCATCAGCAATGTTCGACAGGCGCAGAGGAAGGACCCCGAACTCCAGCTGCTCATTAACTACCTTGAGCAGCTAGAGCTACCTGACGACCCCAAGCTGAGCCAGCGAATCGTCCTTGAGGCCAGGCAGATGGGCCTTGACGGAGACGGCATCCTGCACCACTTCTGGTGGATGCAACGCGGGGACCGACGAACCAACACCCGCTGCCAGCTGGTAGTACCAGCGGCCCTCGTTGAGACCGTGATGGCAGCCACGCACGATGACCTGCTAGCCGGACACTTCAGGGAGAAGAGGACAATCAAGCAAGCCAGGCAGCATTACTGGTGGCGGGGAATGTTCTCCCAGATCAAGAGGTGGGTGGCCACCTGCCTGACCTGCCAGCAATGCAACAACCCCAAGGGTCAGACGCCAGGCCTGCTCCAGTCGATACCAGCAGCGAGTCAGCCGTTCCAGCAACTCAGAGTTGACCTGATAGGGCCACTACCCCAGTCAAGACGTGGGAACAAGCACATCCTCGTCTTCGTAGATTATCTCACCAAGTGGCCGGAGGCCTACGCGCTGCCCGACGCCACGGCCGAGGCCATGGCCCACGTCTACGTCAAACAGGTCATCTGCCGGCACGGCGCTCCAGAAGCACTACTGTCCAACCACGGTAAGCAGTTCCTCAGCGAGGTTGTGCGCCATGTAAACGAATACCTCCAAGTGCATAAGGTCAACACGACGCCTTACCACCCCCAGACGGACAGCCTGGTCGAGCGCTTTAACGGCACGCTCGAGAGCTTGCTCACGAAATTCAGGAACAACCATCAAGACAACTGGGACGACCTCCTACCATACGCACTCTCCGCGTACCGCACCAGCGTCCACGAAGCCACGGGCGACACGCCGTTCTACCTGCTCTACGGCCGCGACCCCTACCTCCCGGTCGACATCACGAGCCGCGCGGTCAAGAGCGGGTCGGCCACGACGCCGGAGAGACACAAGAGCGAGCTAGTAGATCGGCTACGGGACGCCTACGCTTACGCGCGCGCGAACCAAGAGCGCGCACAGCAGTCAGATCAAAGGGCCTTCGACCACCACTGGGAACAGAGCCACTACTACGCTGGGGACAAAGTGTGGCTCCGAGCGGCTCACCTGCCACGCGGGAAAACAGCCAAGCTGGCTAGGATGTGGAAAGGCCCCTATCGCGTCGGGGAAGTGAGAGGGCAACTGGTGCTGGCCCTTCAACACGTCAACAACCCCCGAGACCAACAGGTGGTCAGCGTTCGACGAGTGAAGCCGTGCCAGCTCGACGAGAGCTTGGCGGACTTCACTCAACGACTACGAAACCAGCAAGCGGAGGAGCCCGACGACGGCGAAGACATCGAGGTGGAGGCGATCCTCAACGACCGACCACGGGGAGAAGTACTGGGGTGGGCGACCACCCGGGAATCCACCGTGCCGTATCCTTTTTGCTCTCTTTTTGCTCTCTTTTTGCTTCTCTTTTTGCTCGTTTAGCTGCACCATCACGGCGAATCCTTTTTGTTCACGCCTCTGCTCTGGGTAATTTCAGTATTTGCTGCAATGGGTGCTTTTCTAACGCCGAGAGTACTGCCGGCCGAACTCCGTCTATCACGATAAATTGCGTTGGCCAACCTGCCCCGATAGTCTTCGCTCTTCACCACGACCACCCCAACAGCTGCAGCAATGGCGAACCCTCGTAATCCCGCGTTCCTGCTGGTGGCGTTCCTCTGCTTCCTCGCCACATCCGCCTTCGTCTCGGGCGCCACACGTACCAACCCCCGCGCACCGGTTCTTCATCTTCATCTTTGCCTCTTTCTTATTTTCTCACGTCTCCTCAACAGTCGAGGTGTGCCAGAGCGGGGCCTGCGCCTATTCGTCAGTCACCGCGGCCCTGCTGGCGGCCAGGGGAGGCGACGTGGTCCACGTCCAGAAGGGCAACTACGCCAACGAGGCCACCACCAACGTGATCGTCAGCTCCGACATCACCCTCAGGCACGCACTCCGAACACATCTCTCATTTCTTCACAGCTTTGTTGACGTTACTAACATCGTAGACCTCAATCTTGATGTATCGCTTGCCGACAACAGCGGCGACCAGGGCGCTGTGATCTCGCTTTCGTTCGCCTACCCGACCAACCAGTGGCTCAGCATCAATGGCACCCTCACGCTGGTGGGCGATCTCACGCTGGTCGTGAACGCGGGCAACTGGCCGAACAACGGTACCGTTATCCCTATGTCACCCCATCCCTCAACCGAGATCTTTCCCTCACGTTGCAGCCACAATTGCGCCTTACAGCCATCCTGGTGCCTGCCGGCGGACAGCTCGTCCAGAAGGGCAACCTCAACTTTGTGGGCGGCAATGGTTCATCCCCCCCCCCGCAGAGCCCGCTGCCATTGCCTAACGCCCATTGCGCTGATCTTGTCGACAACTATGTGTAATACAACCATCAGCGCGCTACGGCGGTTCGGGTATCACCGTGCAGGGCGTCTACAAGCAGACCGGTAACCTCACGGCCGCGACCACCGGCACCACGGCCTTTGGCGGTTCGTCGCGCCCTCTCTTTCCCACTTCTGAGTCTCCGGCACCGCTAATATATTTACAAATGCCGATGTGGGGTACACCAGCCATCGTCCAGCTCCAGGACCAGGGCACCTGGCTGCAGGATACCGAAGCCAGCGTTGACATGCAACTTCTCCGGAGCACTGGTTCGTTCACTCAAAGCACAAAAAAGGAACGGTGGATAGAGGAACTTTTTACCAACCAACAATTACAACCACCGCTGGCAGGCGTGTCGTTCTCGAACGGCGGTTCGTGGCTTCAGAAGGGCGAGATCAACATGAAGCTTGATCAGAGCGCGAATGGTACGAACACGCGATGCTATTAATATAGGCTGATTGAGTGTGCCCACTCGTGTGACTCACCTTCCCCCCCCCCAACTTGCTGCATCTTACCCCGCCACCCCCAACAGGTGTTGCTTGTCTTGTGAAGCCCAACAAGGTCTGGGTGCAACAGGGGCGCGTCAACATGATCACCTCTAACTTCAGCGTCGGTACGTGTGGGTGTCGTATGTGTGTGTGCGTCGTGCAATGCCGGCTTCTGACTTGTTTACGGCCAATGATCAATGCTGAGTGCAGGCATCTCGCTCAACACGGGCAAGTGGCAGGGCTTTGGTGACATCGACATGATCGTGCTGGACTCTGGCAGCGAAGGTACGACTAGTCGCCTAACACCTTTCGTGCGCGAACACTCACTCACCTCCCCCCCACACGGTGTCTGCTCTCTGATGACCATCAGGCATCAGTTGCTACAACCCCACCGTGGATGTGGCCGGCCGCGTGCTGGTCCAGCAGAACGGTGCCTGCTACACCCTTCTGGGTACGTTACCGCACTTTGCATTACGGTGGGTGGTGGTAGCTCACCCTTCTCCTCCAGTCCCGACCAGATGCACCCTCAAGCCCAGATTCTGCCCCTAAAAAGCACCAACCAAAAGTGTTGCTCCCGTTGCGAGCGGTCAGTTCTGTGGGGCAGGGTTCTGTGGCTCCCCCCCTCTTCGTTCTTAGTTGCGTCATGGATCCCTAGCAACCAACTGGAAAACACCAAGTGAAAGTCGATAAAAAAATCACCAAAAAAGCTTGCCACGATCATGCCGCCTGAACAACGTGGTGGCTCACGACGACGGGATGAGCTGCGTGTACTGCGACTATTGCAAGGCGGGATGTGAAGAAGGCGCACGGGGTAAACATACTTATTGGTTGTGTTCGCGATGTCACACCGACATGTGCGAGCTCTGCTATGAGGAGGTGGACGAAGCGACGGCCACCAAAAACGGTGCACAAAACTGGCACCGAAGGAAGGAGGCTCTCGCGGACTGCCGCAAGCACGGGCTGGTTCACGTGACCAACATGGGCACTGGCGCCTATAGTTGCGATGTCTGCGAAGAGACGATAGAGGATGCCGAGTGGAGGCAACACATTGACTCCAACGGAAGGAGCACGGACGTCTGTAGGCGGTGTCAGCCAAGTGAGAACATGGCTAATTTGCTCTTCCAAGACGCCAGTCTGAGCGGATTGACACGCCTCGATGCCAGTGGGTTCGGGTCGCTGCTGGATTGGATTCCCATCGGACACGACGAAGACCCGGACACTTATGGTCAGTACGTGAATGTAGTGATCGGAAAAAGGTTTTGTTAAACACCGTGGTGAAATACAATCTCATCGACACGCGTCAGAACATCGCACAGAGGCAGCGTTCCCTTGAGGAAGTTGCAAGTCTTGCAGCACGGCATCGCGTTCTCGACCGTGTACCCCACGGTGTTGTCGGTGCGATCCACGCCACCTGCCGACCTTACACCGCAAAGGTAGCATGGAGATCCGAGTAGTTCGTCGAAGTGTGACCGCTCGAGCTCGAAGACGAGATTCCTCTTGGCGGCCTTCTTCATGTAGGTGTTGAAGGTCGAGTTCGTGATCTTCTTCTCGCGATTGCGCAGGTGCGGCATGTCCGTTTTCGCGCTTCCGGTGTGGGAGAAGCGATGTATGCGGCGCACGGATTCGAGGAAGGCCGACGCACTCAAAGTGCCTTTCATGAAGTTGCAGCGTTGGCAGCACGATGCGACGTTTCCTGGCACGTACCCGACATCGTTGTCGGTTCGATCGATCCCGAGCAGCTTTCCACCTTCGTCGCCCTCGCGGTTGCAGTAGTGGCAGCGCGCGTTGAACAGTCCGATGGCTACCTCTTTCCCGATGGTGATTTCCCGGCCGTGTTGACGCGCGTTCACTTTCAGTCGCACCCATCTTCCCTCTTCCGATTGCGCATAGGCCCTAATCTTTCCTTCGGCTGCCCTTACGCGGCGCCCGAGGGTGCGACTCCACTTCCCGTACCGTAAGCTTTGCGTTTTTCTTCGTCCCAATCCCGATTTTTTTTTGTAATGCGAAGCCGTCCTAGCTCAGTCGGTAGAGCGCAAGACTCTTAATCTTGTGGTCGTGGGTTCGAGCCCCACGGTCGGCTACCTTTTTCTCTGTTGTCGCTGAAGCTTCCACCAGAAATGACGATTACATCAGGCGCCGTACTTAGGCGTTTTGCCCAACTTGAAGGCCAGCTCGGCCACGAACTGCTCGGCGGCGATGTTCCCATTGGCACCCTTGCTCTTGACCTCGGCCTCGGTGAATCGCTGGACGTCGTCCCTTCGCGTCGATCCCTCGTGGTAGTAGGTCGCCAGATGGCCAGCCCTGCACAGCACATCATCCAAACCCCCCCCCCAAGTAGGAATGAATGTCTGCTGAGGGCAACAGAAGATAAGTGAAGCAATATTGGGGGGGGGGGCTCTTACGGGAGTAGCGGAGACGTCTTGCCATCGATGACGGCGGCGCTCTGGACGGGGTAGTAGAGCTTGGAGTTGGGCTTGGGCTCGTCGCTCGCTGTGACCGATCCGCCAGACAGGCGTTGGTATGTTAGCGAGACGTACACAACACGCATGACACCACACACACACACACATACACGACACACACGACACACGGACGCACACGGACACGACGGCAGTGGTACCGGGAGAGGAGTGGCCAGCGATGACGGAGACGAGGGGCTTCTTATTCTCCTTGGTGGTGAGCAGCCGGGCGACCAGCTGGTCGGCCAGCGCGAGCGCGGGGAAGTCTGCAGTGGCCTTCACGTGCACGAAGGCCAGGTCGACCTGCTCCTGGGCTGCAGTAGCGAGTACGGGTTTATATCAGCGGAACTCTGCACACAACACATGACACTTTGCGGCCCAAAGCCAGAGCGGAGCGGAGTGTGAGCGTAGCATAGGGGTACCGGCGGCCAGTTGTCGGGTGGTTTCTTCGACATCGCCGCCGCTCTGGAGGTGCACCACGACGGGCACGCGGAGGCTCTCGCCGAGAGCAACAACCTCGGGGTCGTTTGACAGCAGGCCGAGCTTGAGGCTGCCGAACCTATTGATCACAACACACGGCACACACCGCGTCAGCGATGCCCAGCGGGCGGGAGAGAGACAACGTCGACGTACTTCTTGTAGAGGGAGGCGAAGCTCACGTCATCCTTCAAGAACGGGCCTTTGCCCTCGGCGTCGTAGAGCGAGCCGTAGATGCCCAGGATCTGCAGCAGCTCGCCAAGCTCGTCCCGCGCTGAGATCCACAGTCACGCGCAATACAGATTTAATCAGATGTAGTAGCTTCGTGCAGATTTTATGTGCACTTCATCTATGAATGGAATGTGATTGATTTTCTAGATGAGGGGTGGGCATACGAAGAAGGCGAGGGAAGAGGCGACCGCTGCAACCCAGCTGTGCCAATCGGTCGAGCCCCTCGCTGTGCTGCTGCTCAAGATCCGCAAAGGGCACGCCCTGCACGAAGACCACGACCGCCTTGGCCACGGTGTGGGGCGGCAACACCGGGTACTGCTGCTGGCTGCCTTCCATCGATTCGATGTCCTTCTTCCTCGTTTGGGCAAATGTGTTTCGAAAAAATTCGAACATTTCCGAGACAAGTTTCTGTGAACATCGACGTGGATGACCAGGCCGTGGCTCAAGCCCGAGCAGCCGGAGCTGTGCTCGAGGGCGAGGTGCACCGATCGGAGCTTCGGGACATGGCCTGCATGGCTGACCCTTTCGGCCACGGCTTCTCCTCCACTTCCACGCCGACCCACCCTACGTCGGCGAAGGCCCGGAACAAGAATAAATAAGAAGATAAGAGAAAAAGAAAAAAAACAATGAAAGAAAAGGAAGCAAGAAAAGGAAGGAAGCATGTACACGCTGCTGGGGGCCGAGGTGTCGCTATATACCGGCAAGGTGCGGGCCTACCTGCGCTACAAGCGCATCCCCTTCACCGAAGTCGTGGCAAGTGCAGAGGTGCGTACCTTTTTTATTTATATTTTTCTTATCTTTTCTATTTATTTATTGCAGATTATATAACCTTTTTATAACTCTGTTGGCTGCATAGGTCTACCGGACGGTCATCATTCCAAAGACGGGCGTCAGCTACGTATATGTGCACCTTGCCCACCACAAGTTTCTCCATGCTAACACTCACCACACATTCAAACACGCACACACTCAAACACGCACGCGCACCACAAGCAGATTCCAGTGCTCTTGACGCCAGACGGCGAGACTGCAGTGCAGGACACGACCGACATCATCGACTTCCTCGAGCGCAGGTGCGACGACTCCACGCCTCTCTTTCGCGTTTGTCACACGTCTTGAAGTGTGTTGGAGGGGTCCCACACGCCCGGCGGTGAACAGATTCCCCACCAACCCGATCTACCCCGCTACCCCATGCCAACGGCTCGTGTCGCTCCTCTTTGAGGTACCTACCTATGCGGGTGTCGTGTGTCGTGTCGTGTTTTGTCGTGCGTGCGGTTCGGGTAGCTTACATAGACTGTGTGGCACCCAGGTCTACGCCGACGAATGGCTCGTGATCCCGGCCATGCACTACCGATGGAGCTTCCCGGAGAACCTCGACTTCATCTACCGCGAGTTCGGGCGCACGAACCTCCCCGACGCCTCGGCCTCGGCCCAGGTACACACCTCTCGCTCCAACCGCACACGCGCGATAGCTCACTCAACATTCCTGGAATTTCACGTAGTATGAGCAGGGCAAGAAGGTCGCGGCCAAGTTCGCGGGCTCCCTGCCCTTCCTGGGCGTCAGCGACCAAACCAAGGCCGCCATCGAGGTTCGAATTCCAACGTTGCATTGCGACCCACACCCGTAATTTACTGGGCCTGGACGTGGAATGTCAGGAATGGTTCGAGACTTTCCTGGGGCAACTCGACGCCCACTTTGCCCAGCACGCATTCCTGCTCGGCGGGCGGCCCACGCTGGGCGACTTTGGGCTGATGGGTCCGCTCTACGCCCATATCTCGCGTGACCCCTACCCCGGCCGGCTCCTGCGCGCCAAGGCGCCCCACGTCGTCCAGTGGCTCGAGCGAATGCAATTCAACCACCCCCCAGGTACGCACCACACGACACACACGACACACACGACACACGACACGCATGACAAACGCACACCGCTCCACAGGTGGGTTTGGGGGCTTGCTGCCCGACGACTCGGTGCCGCACACGCTGTTGCCGATCCTCCAACACATGTTCGACGAGCACTTGCCGGTGTTTGTCGACACAATGGCGAGACTCTCCGAGTTCTGCCGGGGCCGGGGCGGGGCGGCCGGCTCAGGCCGCATCCCGCGTGCCCTCGGGTGGCACGACTTCACCGTGGGCGGGGCCAAGGGAAGCCGCCTGGTCTACCCCTACACCGTGTGGATGTTCCAGCGCCCACTCGATTTCTGGGCATCTCTTTCCAGGTGACACGCACGCACGCACGCACGCACACACACACACACACACAACGAAAAAGAAGAAGAAGAAGGTGGTGTTGATGATTGTGGTGACAGGGAGGAAAAGGAGGCGGTGGAGGCGCGGGTGCTGTTACCGCTCCGGGGCGGGCGGGAGAGGTGGGCCGCAGCGGTGCGAGCGGCAGGCCAGTGCCGTGTGCACCGAGAGAACAACGTGATCGTGTGGGACACAGCACAACACACAGCCGCCAAGCTGTGATACATTCCAATACGTATGTGATGACACTGAAGTGCATTTCAGAAATGACTACATGTTAGGGGGCTATTTTAATAGTGTGTGGGAGCTATTTCTCTGGTTCAAGGCTTTATTGCGCCTGCGATCATGGGCACAGCAGTGAGGTGACATGCTTGAATCCCTAGATCTGCTGGTAGCCTCTGCCGCACATCCTCCGCGCGCTGTTGAACAGGAAAACATTACCGTCCTGTGTGGGCCACACCACTGTTAGATTTTGCTATGAAACAAACAACACACGAACATACAACACTGTGGAGGGTTCCATTTTGTGCGGGAGAGGGGGGGGGGCAAAGAATGAACCTTGACGAGGCCTGGAAGAGCCAACCAGAACTGGCTGTTGGGGATGATCTCAAGTCCCTCCCTCTTGAAGTAGAACTTCTGCACCACCAGTCCGCCGGCGAAATACACAAACGTCACGCTCACCAGGCTGTTTGTTTGTTTGTTCACCCAAAAGTTAGAAATGTCAGAAGCTACCCAATTAATTGCCCAATACTGGTGAGTCCCACACGTACCAGATGATGAAGATCCAGCCTCCTGCAAGCCCGCCTGAGTCCGAGCTGCCTCCGCCGCCACCGCCGCCACCGCCGCCGCCGCCGCCGGTCGGGCAGGCGTAGGATGTGCGCCACTCGAACTCCCAAATGTAGGGCTGGGGGCTACCAGATGGTGGAATGTAGGTCGACTTGATCTTGCCTTCGCCGGCCTTCGCGTCGCAGATGTAGCTCACCTTCGACCCGCGGGTGCTCACCGCCGTGAACGACACCATGAAGCCCTCGCCACCATTGGCCACTGAAGCAGAATTCCTCGACGTTAAGATTGTGCAGTTTTGATGAGAATGAATGGTGTCCGGAGGAGGAGCATGTAGGGGCGTACAGGGGCCAACCGTGCCCTTGCTGAGAACGCCCAGGGTGAAGACATCTTTGACGTCCTGCTGGCACATGGCCGTGCTGGCATCCGTGCTAACGCACCGCGGTTCGCCACGCACGGGCTGGCAGGGCGAGTTGTAGTACTTCCAGCCACTCGAGTCTGTCCTTGACCACCCCGGGGGGGGGGGGTTAAAACCGACCACAAAGGCCCAGCTGGCGCTGACGCGTTTCGTGGGGGTGAGGGCGGGGGGGGGGTACCGGGGTCGGTGGCGGAGGCCTTGGAGGTGTAGAGCTTGGCCAGGTTGGTGAGATCATACTTTTTGCTGGTGGTCGGATCGGTGAAGGTGCACAGCTGGAAACCTTGGGCGGCCACCAGGTGCACACACCACACGCCCAGCAGCACCACGACGACGGCGAGGGCCAACGAAACTCTCATCTTCTCTCGTGGTGAATCTGGAAAAAAATGGGCAGTGAGACACGAATAGCAAAGGAGAACGCCCGCACTCCGCAAGATTAAAGGTGCAAAGATAATAACAACTACAACACTCAGGTAATTGGAGGGCATACTGGAAGAGATTGATTCACTTGATGGGAGTGGCGCTGCAGAGCAAAGCTAGACAGATTTCGACAGCGCGGGAAAAAGGAAAGGTGAGCTCTAATAAGGGTCCTATTGTCATTTAAAAACTCCCTTGTGCACTTGTGAAAATATGAGAAAAGTAATTTTCATAAGAACAGGAAAACTTACACTCATTCTCAAATGAGAGGTTCAGTCATTTTCAAAAATGATTTTTGTGTGTAATATCCCTTTTCTCTGAAAAGAGAAATCCTAGGGTTGAATGATATGGCAAGAGTGAGCTGCAGTATTGGTGTCCTGTGGCATGTGCCAGGGCCAGGTTGGTGGGAGCCATCCCTGCATGCTGCACCTGCTTTCCCAGCCAGGCCAGGTGATGGTCACTTGGCACACAGATGTTGGAGTAGTTGTGGGAGCAGGGTGATTGGGGGTACAAAACACACTGTTGGGAAAAAAGTGACAGTGCATTGGAAATTAGTTCTGTCAATAATTCCCATGTGGAAATGTGTTTTTCAAACAAGTTTCAACACAGAAAAAGGTCAACAAAAACAAGTTCCAGTGTGCATCACTACACTGATGTTACACATCCCCCAACTACATCACCAAACAACACTAAAATAAGATTTGTGTAAACAAGACCAGATGATGATCACCACACATGAAACATACAATCAGAAAGTAACCTGTTCTCATGTGATTCTGATCATACTGATATGGGGTGTTGAACCAGTTAATCCTGAATTTGGTGGCACAGCTTTGTTTTTCTTCACAGTTCTTTTTCTTCATTTTGCATAATCACAGAAGGAGGGCACAGTTGTGACTGAGGAGTTAAAGCAGGCCATACCATCTACCAGGATTTGGCAAGGCATGCATAAGATCAAAACCATGTCAAAACATACTTAGAACTTGCAGTCATTTGAAATGAGAGGTCACAAATGACTGTGGAATTTTCATTGTGCTAAAATTGTGTGAGATTTGACATTTTTGATTTATAGGGCAGTTTTGAAGATTTGGATCTGCATGTGATTTTGACATGCTAGACTGCTGCTTATTGTGCGATTACATTGGTTTCATCACCTTTTTATGTTACACTATTTTCTGCGTATTTGCCCAATCCAGTTCTGTTAAAGTGGGATAAAACCCAGATTGTTGTAAAACTGCTTGAAAGATGGGGCGGGGGATGAAACTGATGTAATCGCACAATATAAGTGATATTGAGGGACTTGAGATGAAAAAGATTAGATAAAAACTTGGAATGTGTGGAGGTAAAAGTGATTTTATCAGTGTGAGATGGACCTTTGTTGTGGTGGAATTTTAACTTCAGGAATAGTGCTCATTCAGCCCAAATGATGTGAGGTTCACCATGAACTGGATGTGAGAGTAGCACCACTGATTATGGAATTGATGGAGGGTATGAAAGCAAAGGCAAGGTGCATTTTGAAGTTGTTCAGAGGAGCACTAACACAAAACAAGCTAAGTTCAGATTTTCTGGATCGTGTACATGTGCACAATCAACTTAGTATCTGCTTTCATAGGCACTTGTTGGTGCTGTGTACACCAAGCCCCTACTTTCAACTCACTCAAAAAAAGAGTCCACTTCTTCCACAATTTGTCATTTTACAAAGAAGGAAGGACGAATTTGTGCTTCCCTGCCATCACCATGTGCATTTCACACTTATTTTTAACTCAAAGCTGTCTTGGGAGTTACAGAATGACCAAGGGATTGTCAATCACCACAGATTGACTCCATGGTCCCTGTAGCAGTGGGGGAATAAAGGCCAAAAGTTGTTTTGTTGATGATCATTCATGTTTAAGGGAAGGGAGTGGACCTTTGCAGTCATGGGCATAGCAAGTGCTCAAATCCCTAGAACTGCTGGTAGCCTCTGCCACACATCCTCTGCGCACTGCTGAAGAGGAAAACATGACCATCCTGAATGGGCCACACCACTGTTAGATTTCTTGAAGAAAGAACAGAATGGGGTAAAAGCACCTTGACAAGGCTGGGAAGAGCCAACCAGAACTGGCGATTGGGGATGATCTCAAGTCCCTCCCTCTTGAAGTAGAACTTCTGCACCACCAGTCCACCGGCGAAATACACAAACGTCACGCTCACCAGGCTGCGTTTGTTCCCACCACCAGGAATGTCAGAAATGTCAGCGCAATTCCAGAACGATGCCAATAATTATGGGTCTCAAACGTACCAGATGATGAAGATCCAGCCTCCTGCAAGGCCGCCTGAGTCCGCGCTGCCTCTCCCGCCGCCGCCGCCGTTCGGGCAGGCGTAGGAAGTGCGCCACTCGAACTCCCAAATGAAGGGCCGGGGGCCAGTGGATGGTGGGATGTAGGTCCACTTGATCTTGCCCTCGCCGGCCTTCGGATCACAGATGTAGCTCACCTTCGACCCGCGGTCGTCCACCGCCGTGAACGCCACCACGAAGCCCTCGGCACCATTGGTCACTGCAGCACCATTTCGGGTTTGTCGTGTGTCGTGTGTCGTGTGTCGTGTGTCGTGTGTCGTGTGTCGTGTGTCGTGTGTCGTGTGTCGTGTCGTGCAGTGGGAGGTGTGCGGTTTGATGAAAATGAATGGTGGAGTAAAGGGGCGTACAGGGGCCAACTGCGCCCTTGCTGGTGGTGCCCAGGGTGTAGACGTCCTTGGCGTCTTGCTGACACACCGTCGTGCTGGACTGCGTGCCGACGCACCTCGATTCGCCACGCACGGGCTGGCAGGGCGAGTTGTAGTACTTCCAGCCACTCGAGTCTGTCCTTGACCCAGGGAGAGAGAATGAGAGGAGGGGAGGGTTAAGGCAGGCTGAGGCGTTTCATGGGGCGGAGATTCGGGGGGGGGGTACCGGGGTCGGTGGCGGAGGCCTTGGTGGTGTAGAGCTTGGCCAGGTTGGTGAGATCATACTTTTTGCTGGTGGTCGGATCGGTGAAGGTGCACAGCTGGAAACCTTGGGCGGCCACCAGGTGCACACACCACACGCCCAGCAGCACCACGACGACGGCGAGGGCCAACGATAATCTCATATCTTCGCTCGTGGTGAATCTGGGAAAAAATGGGCAGTGAGACACGAACATCAAAAGACCCGTACTCGTAGCTCGCAAGATTGAAGGTGAGGATAGACGAACAGTCCAACTTTCTATTTAGAATCGAAAAAATGGACAGGAAACGAGCAACACCACAAACACTCAGGTCATCGGAGGGCATACCGGAAGAGAATCGTATCACTTGAGGGGAGTGGGCGCCGCAGAGCAAAGCTGGACAGATTGCCACTGCACAGGCGAAAAAGAAAACCCATCAAGAAGGGCGTGCACCTAATAAGGGTCAGGTTGCTGAACTTGAGGAAATGTGCGCAGAAAAGTAAGAAACAGAAAAGCGGCTGTTTTGGAGATTATAAAATGCGTTTCAAATGCGTTTCAAAATCCCAGAAGGGCTAGCTGAGCACAAAGGTCCAGCGAGCGTCTCCGTCAGGTCCGCGCTCTGGGCAATGGCGACGTGTTGAAGCATCATCGCACCTGCCCATCAGTTTTTCTTCATCATTTGTTTGGTAAATCACGGGCGACCTGGAAGCGAGTGCGATCATGGGCGCAGTGGCGAATGGGCGTTGGCTCCCTAGATCTGCTGGTAGCCTCTGCCGCACATCTTCCGTGCACTGTTGAACAGGAAAACATTACCGTCCTAGAGACGCCCCACCACACCATACAATGTCAGATTTTACTATGAAACAAAACAACCGCTCACACACAGAGAACAGAGACCACCTTGACGAGGCCGGGAAGAACCAACCAGAACTGGCTGTTGGGGATGAGCGCAAGTCCCTTCCTCTTGAAGTAGAACTTCTGCACCACCAGTCCGCCGGCGAAATACACAAACGTCACGCCCACCAGGCTGCGTTTGTTTGTTTGTTCACCACCACCAGGAATGTCAGACAGGCCAGAACACAATCCCAGAAAAATACCTAATAATTGTTAATCCGACAGGTACCAGGTGATGAAGATCCAGCCTCCCGCAAGGCCGCCTGAGTCCGAGCTGCCTCCGCCGCCGCCGCCGGTCGGGCAGGCGTAGGAAGTGCGCCACTCGAACTGCCAAATGTAGGGCTGGGGGCCACCAGGTTGTGGAATGTAGATCCACTGCAACTTGCCCTCGCCGGCCTTAGGGTCGCAGATGTAGCTCACGTTCGACCCGCGATTATCCAACGCCGTGAACTTCACCACAAAGCCCTCGACGCCATTACGCACTGCGCAGTACCATTTCCTGTTTTTGATTTGTGGTTGTTGTTGTTGTTGTGTGTGGTGAAGGAGTACTAAGAATGAATCAATGAATGGTGGTAGGAGGAGGAGGAGGAGGCTATAGGGGCGTACAGGGACCAGTGGTGCCCTTGATGATTGTGCCCAATGGGTGGACGTCCTTGGTGTCCTGCTGGCACACGGCCGTGGAGGTAACCGAGCTGACGCACGGCGCGTTACCCGACTGGCAGGGCGAGGCGTAGTACTTCCAGCCGTCCGGGTCTGTTTTTGGGGGGGGGGAGTCTAACGCCCCGGGGGATGTTTGTGGGGCTGGCGGAGATCGGGGGGCCGGTACCGGGGTCGGTGGCGGAGGCCTTGGTGGTGTAGAGCTTGGCCAGGTTGGTGAGATCATACTTTTTGCTGGTGGTCGGGTCGGTGAAGGTGCACAGCAGGAATTCTTGGGCGGCCACCAGATGCCACACCACACGCTCAGCAGCACCACGACAGCAAAGGCCAACGAAAATCTCATATCTTCGCACAAGGCAGTGAGTCACGAACACCCAAGGGGGAAAGCACAGTACAAATTGCAATTGGACAAATAGAGCTGAAGCTCAGTCGATTCAGTGCTGCGAAGCACTTAAGGAGTTTGGAGCGCAAAGCGAGAGGGCATTCACCTAATAAGCGTCGTCAACTGAAAAATCCATGGAACATTGCATTGGCTTGTTGAGGTGATGACGCATTCTTTTAGGCGTCGGCGAGCGGCGCAACAATGGCGGCCTCTGTCTGCGCTCCTACCACTACGGGTTCGTCGGAGTGCTTGTCGCCCTTCGCGTCGTGCCCCACTGCTCCGCCCGCGCTGCCGCTTGAGTCGGTCCACAGCGCCGCCGCCGCTGCCGGTTCGGTTTGCCGGCGAAGAAGCCACGCGGCGCGGCGCTCCTCGACCTCCTCGTCGGTGTAGAAATAGCGGGCCACCCAGTCGAGCGTCTCCGTCAGGTCCGCGCTCTGGGCAATGGCGACGAGTCGCGGAATGACCGAGGGGTCGTCCATCGCCACCTTCTTCCTCAGCCACGGATTGACCCGATGGTACCTACAGCGGCGGTGGTGGTGTTGGAATCGCACCGGCCCATCAGTTTTTTTGTTTTTGGTAAAACATCATCATCTCATGGGTGCGGGAGGGGACTGAACCGTTCGCCCAGCAGTTGGCCGCACATCTGCTCGGAAAGCAAGTCCTTGGCTTTGAACAGGAGCTCGGGGAACGTGGTGCGCCATTCCAGCAACCCCCTTCCAATCGTTCAGTGTGTGTGTGTGTGCGTGTGCGTGTGCGTGTCGTGCGTGCGTGTGTGCGTGTGTGCGTTGCCGTCGGTCGTGTACGGTAAGAAAGACGATCAAAGAGGCGGGGTGATGATGTTCGTATGTAGTACCAGTCGTGCTCGAGCCCGTCGATGAACTTGTTGACCATACCCGTGCCCAGGGACAGCACGCAGATGTCCTCCGCCCTGCGCAAGCACGGCGGACTCACGTGTCAATCTCGCCAGCGAGATCGGGCGCGCGGTGGGGGGGGGCATCGCCAGCGAAACGGCCACGCACCTCTGCGGGTCCTCCATGTTGGCGCCCATGACCGTCACGGCCGCCGTCAAGGCCGGCGCGTTGCACATGACGCCCGCGTCGATGTGTTTCTACACGCACCCAGAGAACGAAAGCGACGTCGTCAAAGAACGAACACAACAAAAGCGGGGGGGGGGGTGAAGGTACGTACCTTGAAGCTGGGGAACACGATCGGCGCGGCCGCCGAGGCCATGACGTAGTCCCACACCGGCGCCTTCATGTCGACATCTTCAGCGATCGGCGGTGGAACGTCATCGTCAACGCTCGCCTCCTCCTCTGCTTCTTCGCTGCCGATAGTGTTGTCGTTGTCGTTGACATCGTCGTTGGCCTCTTCCGCCTCGTCATTGTCGTCGTGGTCGGCCGACTTCCGCTGGGCGCGTCGCTTCATGCGGCGCACGCGGCTTTCCTTCTTCGCCTCTTTGGCCTTGCCGCGCGGCTCCTCGGCCGTCGCCGTCGTCGTGGTGGTCGTGGTGGTCTTGTCCCTGTCGTCGCGCCACGTCTTCCACAGCTTCTTCACGCCGACCCGCGTCTTGTCCTGCTTTTCCTTTTCTTTTCCCCTCTTTTCCTCCGAGCCCGACGCGTGGGCGTCGAGGCCGCCGTCGGGGGCGCTGTCGGCAGTCGACAGAATGTCGTCGGAGCTCAGACCGCGCCGCAGCGGAGGCAGCGGCGCCGGCCTCTCCCGGAGCTCCTCCTCGCAGTCGCTCAGCGATCGCTGCTTCTCGCCGGCCTTCTTCACCGCGGTATTGTTCGTGGCGCTGTCGCGCGTTTTGATGGACTTCTTGGTCTTCTTGTTGGTCTTCTTCTTGTTGCTGTTGTTGGCCCGCTCGATGCTTTCCCGGCTGTGCCACGAGAAGAGGCCGAAGTGGTGCTTCTCCTTCTCGGCCTGGGGCGAGGGTCGGCGCGACCGGCGCGCGTAGGGATCGCCCTTGCGCGGAATGTTGTGGTAAATCTACCAAAGAACGAAAAGCGAAGAAAGAGAAGAGAGGAAAGTGTGAGACAAAGAGAGCGAAAAGCGAATGAGAAAGAGAGAAGACGTACCCGTGGCTCCCAACTCCTCTCGGCGTCGTCTCCGCCATTGTCGAGCAAGAAGGAGGGAATCAGCAGGTTGTTGGGCACGCCCCTTAGCGGCAGGTTTTGCAGCAACTCCGTGCCCACGATGCGGAAGTTGTGATTCGGGTAGCGCGCCCTGCACGAAATTAAGGGGAATTGATTGGCACCTGGTTGCGACACGACACGACACGACACGACACGACACGACACGACACGACACGACACGACACGACACGACACGACACGACACGACACGACACGACACGACACGACACGACACGACACGACACACAGCACGACACACAGCACGACACGACACACAGCACGACACACAGCACGACACGACCAACGACACGATCCACGACACGACACGGGTGGTGCGCGTACTTGGCGCCGATGCCGGCCAGGTTGCGCTTTCCGTCGTCGCTGAAGCCCACCCGCTGCGGCACGATGTCGTCCCCGTGCTGCTCAAAGCAGGACCGGATGAAGTTTGGCGAGTAACCTGAGCGTATGTCGTCGTGTCATGCGGTGTTGCGTGTGCGTGTGCGGGTGCGTGTCATTTTTAGGATGAACGTGGCCAAGTCTTGAGCGCCTGCAGCCCAGGGTTGTCCGGCGGAGTGTACCGCAGGCCAGGCCACAGCAGACCATGGAGCCACCCGACACGCCCGCAAACAAGTCGACCCTCTCCATCAAGTCGGGGTAGACCTCGAGAAGCCGCTCCAAAATGACGCACTCGAGAATTGCACGCAAACCTTCATAAGCGAAGTATGAGAAGCCCGTGCGGTGTGTGCGGTGTGTGCGAGGCTGCGTGTGCGGTGTGTGCCGTGCGTACCGCCTCCATCAAGGCTGAGGATGCGATAGTAACCCGGCGGCCCCGCCTTCTTGCTTTCGTTGATTCGCCGAATGTCGTCGGGGTTGTGCATGTCCCACAGCAGCCCGACTATCAGCGACCCGCCATTGAGAGGTGAGCACAAAGAGCGAAACCCAAGCCAAAAGCGAAGACGACGACGAAGGTTTGGGGGGGGGCGCACAGGGGGTCTTTCCAGCCTCGGTCTTGGCCCGCTCGCAGTCGTCCCTGATCGAGTTGCGCAACGCCGTCCCTGTCATATGAAAATCGGACACACGCGTGTTACAGGCTGGTCGTCAACACACCAAAGACAGCCATCGCGGCGAAATCGATGAGCGGCGTTGTCGCCAACGTACGATCGGGTGTTTCTTCCACCGTGGAGTCTGGACGCAGTTCAATAAGGAGGAGACATAAATGGAAGTGATCAGCATCACTGTGTGTCGTTGGTCGTGTCGTGTCGTTGGTCGTGTCGTGTCGTGTCGTGTCGTTGGTCGTGTCGTGTCGTTGGTCGTGTACGGACGACTTGGACTGTCGGGTGACCAAGTCCCACATGTACCAAACAGGGTATTCAGCCCGGCCGGCGGTGACACCGACCTCTTGCCCCGATCCTTGCGCGTCGCTTTACCTGCGTATTTCTCTACAAAAATAAACCAAACAGTAACATTTGACAAATAAAAACAGTAAATTACTCCGCAAATAAATAAATAAATCAATAAATAGAGTGATGTCGCACCGCCTGACGAGCCGACGGAGCCGAGGAGACGCTGCAGGCCGGCCGCAGCGGCATCGATGCGCTCCTGGAGGAGAGCCGACCACGCGCCGAGCTTCTCGCTGGTCTCGAACAGGAACGTGCGCTTCCGCTTCGTCTTCTTGGACATGACCACCAGCGGGCGGTGGAAGTCGAACAGTCGCAGCCGCGCGGCCGCCGCGTCCTTCCACATGGCGGCCTTGCCGCGGCTGAGCGGGCCCTTCAAGGGGTCGACCAGGGAGGAGGCGGACCGGGGCGGCCCCGGGTCCTTGTCTTCGACTCCGGCCGCCTCGGCGCCTTCCGCCAGATCGTCCTCCACCAGCACCATGTCCCTGTAGGCAATCTCTTTCTGCGATCGCGTCAGTGTGCGTGCGTGCGTGTGTGTTGTGTGTGTGTGTGTGTGTTGTGTGCGTGCGTGATGTGTGTGTTACATACGAGCTTCCCGTCCATGGCGAGCCATTCGAGGGAGTGCCCGGTGGCCACGACAAAGTGGCGGACCCAGCCCTTGTCCTCTTTCCGCTTCACCCACAGCACGCCGGCTTTCCTGAGGCCCGAAGGCGCCTGGCCCAGTCCACCCACCCGCCACCCGCCACCGAGTGACCATAGATCATTGGGTTAGCGATGATTGGCGGACACATAGTAAAGCAACACAGCATTAGTTGCAATTGCTGTGAACGACGATGGCTTAATGGTCAGACAGCGGCGGCCGATACCGATGTCGAAGAGAGGGAGTCGAAGTAGTCGCGCCACTCGGCCCGCAGGGCGGAGGAGTCGGCGGCCAGGTGTAGGAAGGGCTCGGCCGAAGCCGGAGCTGAAGCTGGGTCGTCGGGCGACGACGGCGTCGCATGGTGCCGGAGGAAGAACCACCAGCCTTCCTTGCAACCGAAGAGGACCCGCGGCCGCTCCTGGCAGAGCCCGAAACTCACCGCCACGCCACGCGACAGGTCCGCTCCGTCCTGGCCACATCACAGCTAGGAATATAAGTATTTATTTATTAATTTATTAATTTACATGTAAAATAATAAACTTATAGTTATTTATATTAAAATTGATGTAATATTGGTCTACGGGGATGGAGGAAGGGGGATATTTTTTGTGGGGGGGCACCTGCACGCTGACTCGGCGGTAGGCGAGGCCGTCGTCGGTGGCCTCCACAACCACCAGGGCACGACCGTACGGGCGCTGTTGCACCACCTTCTCCACAGCCGGTGTTGTCTGCATCATCCTCACCACCGCCAAGGGTAGTTAGACTGCTCCGGCCTCCACGTTCCGTTCCAAAACAACGGCCTTTCTTGATGTTTCCGATAACAGTACATATTTTTTAATTATAACACAGAAATTGTTTCCTGTTTACACGTGATGTGAGAAGGATGCACTTCATTGCGACCGTGCACACGCTCCCACGCCGGCGCCGAGAGAGAGAGTCGTCAGGCTGATGGGAGACGGATGCCAGAGTTCTTTTTTCTCGTGAACTTTGGAGTTCCTCTTTATGACGTCGGGGGGGGGACCGCGTGCTCATGCCCTGAAGCAGATCTGTGCCTTTCACTTCAGCCTCTACGTACTCGATTTGGATGAGATAAAGCTGTTGAGGTTTCTTCCCTCCTCTTCCTCTGCTCTTTCTACGTCCTCCTTCCTTCTTCGTCTTACACCACACCAACACATCGGAAGATGCAGATTCGCGTCTCCATCGCCGTGCTGGCGGTAATCTTTGCGCTCCACTGCGCGCTCGCCACCAGGACCATGGTGGCCCCGGCCTCCACCATGTGTGCCTTCAGCGGCGACTGCACCAGGGGCGACTGGACCCGCCTGCAGAAGTCGGCCGCCGACATCCACCCCATCATCATCGCCGTCAAGCTGAGGAACGGCGCCGAGGCCAGCTGCGACGCCCTGCTCATGGAGATCTCGACGCCCGGCTCGCCCAAGGCCGGCCTCAGGTACACCCACGAGCAGGTGGGCCAGCTCCTGTCCAACTTCGACAACACCCGCACCGTCGAGCAGTGGCTGCGCGCCCACGATCTCGCGTACGAGACGGCGTCCAATGGCGATTTCATCCGCGTGTCGGCTCCCGTGGCCCGTCTCGAGCGTCTCCTCGGTGCCCAGTTCCACGATTTCTCGTCCAGGACGCTCGGTCTCACCGTCCGCCGCACCGCTTCCATCTCCATCCCCGAGAATGTACGTTGGCCCATCCCTCTACACAATCAATTGATTTCACCGCACACAACGCCAAACTCGTTTTAATTCTTCTTTTTCTTTTACAAATTTAATTTATTCTGATTGAATGATGAATGGGGGGCTGCTAGGTGGCGGCTGCGATCGACTTCATCGGCAACACCATCCGTTTCCCCGACCTCAAGGGCCGCTTCACCATGATGACCCCTGCCGGCACCCACGCTGAGCGCCAGCAGAGCGACACTGTCTCGCCCCAGACCATCTGGAAGTTCTACGGAGGTACGCGTTCTACAACTCTTTTCACTGATCTTCTTGAGCTGACATTCGCGACAAACACCTCTCTGTGTGTCGTGTGTGTGGTGTGTGCAGTGACCAACACCACCGTCGACAGCACCATCACCCAGTCGCTCTTCGAGTCGCTCGACCAGAGCTTCTCGCCCAGCGATCTGACCACCTTCCAGAAGGAGTTCGGCCTCAAGCAGACCGCCGTGAGCAAGGTGATCGGCCCGAACGACCCCAGCCAGTGCAAGACCAACCCGGACAACTGCGGCGAGGCCAACCTCGACGTGCAGTACATGATGGCCGTCGCCCAGGGCGCCGCCACCACCTACTGGTCGATCCCCACGTCGGCCCAGGACATCTTCCTCGACTGGATCGTGGCCCTCGCCGGCACCCCCAACCCGCCCTCCGTCCACTCGATCTCCTACGGCTCGATCGCCACCGAGAACCCGCAGAACGACATGACCCGCTTCAACACCGAGGCCTGCAAGCTCGGCCTCAAGGGCGTGTCGATCATGGTCTCGTCCGGCGACGACGGCGTGGCCAACTTCGAGGCCCGCGGCAACGCGACGGCCTGCGGCTTCAACCCGTCGTTCCCCGCCACGTGCCCCTACGTGACCGCCGTCGGCGCCACCATGGGTCCCGAGGCCGGTCAGCCCGAGGTGGCCTGCACGTCCAACAACGGCGGCCTCATCACCACCGGCGGCGGCTTCTCGATCTTCTTCAAGCGCCCGGCCTACCAGGACGCCGCGGTGAAGCAGTACCTCGCCAACGCGCCCAACCTGCCCCCGACCTCCATGTTCAACGCCAACGGCCGCGGCTACCCCGACGTCGCCGTCTTGGGTCACAACTACCAGGTCGTCATCGGCGGCAACACCTACTCTGTCTCTGGCACGTCGGCCTCGTCGCCCGTGTTCGCCGCCTTCATCACCCTCATCAACGGCCAGCGCGCCACCATGGGCAAGGGTCCCGTCGGCTTCATCAACCCCACCCTCTACCACCTCTACGACCAGAAGTCGCCCGTCTTCAACGACGTCACTGTGGGCGAGAACAACTGCTGCGCCGGCAACACCCCGGACGAGATCACCTGCTGCCCGTACGGCTTCAACGCCACCGCCGGCTGGGATCCCCTCACCGGCCTCGGCTCGGTCAAGTTCCCCCAGCTCCTCCAGGCGCTCTCCACGATGATCTAGAAGAAGAAAGGAGACCAGACGAAGGTGACGAAGCATAGGACTTCACCAAAAGAAGAAGAAGATAAGTTGATAGCAACTTATGTTAATAAACCAACCTTTCCACGGTTATTTGTTATGCTCTTATTATTTATTATTATTATCCAGAAAAGCAGCACCATTCTTTTTATTAGTTATTATATATTGCAAAAAAAGCAATGTGGCCAAGAGGCAACAAGTTGGCCGCGGCAACTTCGGGCGTTTATGGTTTGGTGTTCTTCATTCCCCCCGGAAATGACACCGTTTCGTCCAATGGGCTTTGAGGAAGTTCGTTGGTCGCCTGGGATACAAGGAATGCAGGGGGGAATTTGGGACCAAAAATGACCACCATCGCCACGCGAGTACTCCGGAGTGGTGGCCTAAGGTTCTGTGTTGAGTTGTGTTTTCGATTCACAACGGAAGGCAGAAGGCAGAAGAAGAGGGAGGCAACAAGCAGAAGCGGGCGAGTGTGGAGAGGAGAGAGTGTGTGTAAGGGAGTTGGATGGATGGACGGCAGCACGGCGGGGCGGATATCCCACATCATCACCGACACCACCACCGGCGCGAGCCCGGATCCCCTGGCTCCTCTGCGGCCATCTTCCTCCTCATCGCGTGAGGAAATGAGTAGCGGCGGGGCCATCATGGCATCTTCTTCATCATCGCCCGCGGCAACACCTGCGGAATCGAATTGGGTGTCCATGGTGACGGCAGTATTGGCCATGGTGTGGGATTGCCTGTATGCATTGATATGCCTCCTGCTGCCCACCGCATCATCACCATCGCCATCTCCATCCCGAGTCGAGAGGTCCCCTGCACCGACCTCTCTGGCATGCAATGGAGGAAAATCTGAGGGGGCGAGTAGAGGAATGATGGATGCTGACAATTCGAAGCCGCCTGAGGCGGATGGACCACCAGAAGAAGAGAATCGCAGCGCCGATGCGGAGGGCGATCCATCACGCATCGCCAACGATCGTACTGGAGGCGGCAATCTCGCGGGAGATCCCGAAAACGAGAATGAGAACGAGAAGCACGATGGAGATGGAGATGGAGATGGAGAGGGCATGGCCGCGATCGAGGAACTGCACGAAGCCGGCAGCGGCGGCGCCGACGTCGTCGTCGATGGGCGCGAGTGGCAGAGCAAGAGCAGCAGTCCCAACGTGCAGCGACGGCGGCTCGTGCGCGAGGCGCGACACGGCACCAGCGAGTTCTTCGAGTACATGCGCCACGGCTACGAGAAGAGCCAGGCCGCCGCCGCCGCCACGCCCAGCGATGCCGAGACCAAGACTGAGCGCGATGGCGACCACCGCGCCAAGGGCCTCCCGTCGCCCACATCGCCTTCGTCCCTCTCCACGCCTGCACTGCTGCCCTCCCGCCGGCGCACGACTTTGTCGTCGTCGTCTTCGTCTTCTTCTTCGCCATCGTCGTCGGCGTGCTCCTCGCCATCACCGCCGTCGTCGCCCGTGGTCGGCGCCAGGTCGCTGTCGCCGCCGGGCCTGCGCAGGGAGAAACGGGCGGCCAAGTCGGCCAAGACGACCAAGAAGGGCGGCGGCAATGCATCACCCGGGCCTACGCTGCGGAAGAGCGCCGGCGACGAGGCCTCGTCCGATGCCACCGCCGCCGTGCCCACGCTCAAGCGCAGCCAGTCCTCGATGGGCAACAGCAGCAGCGACGGCACCATCAACACAACTGACGACAACAGGAATGACGACAATGTCGGCGGCGGCGGCGGCGAGAGGAAGCGGGGCAGCAAGGGGCGGAAGCCGCGGGCCAAGGAGGAGAGCGATGCCGCCGCCGCGTGCGTGCAGCTGCACGTGCGGTCGGACGAGATCGAGGTGCCCAAGCAGCGCGCGGCCGCGGGGTTCAAGCTCACCCTGGACGGGATCTGGCGCAACCACCAGGCCGGTGGTGGTGGCGACGCCGGGGCGCTGACGCCCACCCAGGAGAGCTTCTACAACCACCTCCGACAGGGCGCCATGACCCGCAGCGTCTCGGCCGAGCCCTGCCAGGGAAGCGAGTCAGCGCGAGCGGCCTTGACCACACCATCATCATCAACATCATCATCAACAACATCGACATCATCAACGACGACGGGGACCACTGAAAACGACGACGACCGCAGGGCCAAGGCCCGGGGCCAGCTCCGAGCGTCGTCGCCGGGGCCTGGGGGCCGGGAGGCGCGGGCGCAGTCGCACCCGATCGCGGCGTCGACGCCCGGCAGCGCCGAGAGCAGCTGCACCAACCACACCGAGTCGATTCTGAGCCTGTCGCTGGCGGACTACCTGCGGGACGATCACCACAGCGGCGGCGAATCAGACGCATCGACTCAGCAGCTTCAGCAGCTTCACCAGGAGAAGCCGAGCAAGCGCGACCGGGACCGAGACTCGGAGGGCAGCCCCGGGGGCAGCCTGCGGGGCAGCGCGCGGAAGCTGATCACGACGACCGGCGGCAAGTTCTACGGCAAGCTGCGCAGCAAGGGCTCCTTTATCGCCCCGCGACGCAAGGAATGCGACGCGGCGGCGGCGGCGGCAGCGACCGGACCGACGGTGACGCAGGACGATCAGAGCATTTCGCCCCGCCGCGGCCGGCCCGCCGACGCGTTTATGTCGACGATGTCGCTTCGTTCGCCGTCGGCGGCGGCGGCCAGCTTCGCGCGGTCGCCGGCGGTCTCGGTGCCGTCGTTCGCTCTGCCGCGGGGCAAGCGCGGGCTGAGCGTGGGCGACCGACACGACGGCTTCGGAAGCGGAGACGAGGTGACGACGCCCTGGCCGCCGTCCCGTGCAGCAAGAGCGTCGACGAGATCGTCTACGGCCACTTGGGCCGCCACCAGCAACCGCGCGGTCTCGGCGGCGGCGCGTCGCCGGCGGTCAATGTGGTCACGGTCGCACACGAGGAGCGGGTCGAGGCCGAAAGCCAAAGCTTGAGCGGCTCTGGCCGGCGGCGCCACCGCACGCTGCTGCACGTGAGCAGCCCCTCGTCGCCGACGCTCGGCCCGCGGAACAGCAGCAACGGCAGCGCGGTCGAAGCCACCGGGTCGGCGGGCGACCTGGCCCTGAGCTCCTACGCGGACGAGTGCGCGGACGAGGGCGATGCGGGAAGCCGCAGGAAGCGCGACGCGCTCCGGGGATTGGTGCGTGCGGCCTCGCAACGGCCCTCTTAACCAATTCACGCCGACTAAACCGCACACGCACACGAACAGGTGAAGAAGGGCATCAAGCCCCTGGGCAAGACGGCATCGCTGGTGGGCAGCCGGATCAAGAGTAGCCGCAGCCCTATCCGCATGAACAACTGCGCGCAGTCGAGCGACGCCCTCCTCGAGTCGCGCGGCGGCGGCATGGCCGTTTGCGACAGCAACGACCTCATCACCTGCGGCCGCGGCGGCCTCTACGACGACGTCGTGCTCTTTGGCGGCGACGACGCCGGCGGCGGTTGTGTGGACGGGCTCGACACCTCGGTCCCGCTCGTGGCCGACGACCGCGGCGTGGGCAGCATGGACGACGACGCCCTGGCCGCGGCCACCAGCGACAGCGAGGTGTCATCGGTCCTGCTGGGCAGCTCGTTCTCGCCCGTACCCTCGCCGCCGTCGCACTTCATGTCAACCCCGGCCTCACCCATCGGGCCGCTCCGGCGCTCCGAGCCGGGCGCGTCGGACACCAGCAGCAGCTCCTCGCCGCCGTTCCACAGCGCATTCCACCTCTCCTCCCTCTCCCCGCCCGGCTACTCAGGTATTGATGCGTGTGCGGTGTGCGCGGTGTGTGTCGTGTTGTTTGCCATGTGCGGTGGACTGATCGAGCGCGGTTGTGTTGGCGTCACGGACAGAGTTCTCGCTGCACACGGCGCAGGGCTCACTACCGGTGCCGATCCCGCTCACGGCGCTCATATCGCAGTCGTCGCCGCCGTCGTCGCCCTCGGGCTCTCCCCCGCAGCAACACTACCACCACCAGCTGCAGCCGAGCGCCGGCGGTTCGTCGTCGCCCCCGGTGCCGCGGGCAAAGAACGAAAAGCGACTGTCGCGCGGCTACTCGCCGCTTTCGTTCTGGCGCAAGGGCGGCTCCACGGCGGCCTTCCACACGAGCTCGGACCGCATCATGGACGCGCGCGGCACCACCGGCGACTCCTCGGGCTTTGGCGGCGGCGGCGGCAGTGCAGGTGGCGCGGTGTGTGACTCGGCCGTGGGCTCCTCCCGGCAATCGAGCGCCGACGACGCCGACGCCGACAACGACGACCTCCAGACCGAATACGTACTGCGGCCCGCCCCTTTGGCTTTGTCTCGCACACGCGCGTGTTTCTCACCGCACGCACATACGCACACGCACACGCACACGCACACGCACACGAGCAGCAATTGAGTCAGCAGGCGCTGCGCATTGAGGTGGTAGAAACCGAGGAGCAGCGGAAACAGCACCAGGAGTTGCTTGCTAAGGTACATGCGAAGACCCGCTTGCTGGCACAAGACTGCGCTCACTCACCGACGTTGCAATTGCAACACACACACACGCACGCACGCACACACACACACACACACACGGCACACAGTTGGAGGAAATGCAGTGGCGACTGCTCTCTGGCGAGGGCGGGTTCGAGCGACAGAGCCGGCGCACCAAGCTCCACAAGATCCACTCCTGCTTCCGCGCCTCTGAGCTCGTGACATGGATCCTCTGCGATCTCGGCCTCCAGTCCCGTACCGAGGTTCGCTTCGCTCTTCTCTCTTTCACTTCATTTTCGTTTTCGTTCTTTCGCCCCGCGAGAACTCACACAAAAACAAACAAACAAACAAACGGGAACAGGCGGCCGCCGTGGCGCGCGACCTGATGAAGGAGAACATGCTGCACCACGCCAAGTTCCAGATCACCGAGTTCATCGACGGCCAATCCTTCTACCGCCTGCAGTGGGACAGCCGCGTACGTCCCCCCCTCAAGCACTGATCCTCCGGTGTCCCATCTTTTGTTCACCTCGTGTCGTGTGTCGTGTGATGCGTGTGTCGTGTGTCGTGTGTCGAACGCGCGCAGGTGGCCGAGGCGTGCCTGAACATGCGCAAGATATGGGCCTTCCCACCGCGGAACCATCAGGTCGTTGTAAAGCAACTGGTACGTTGTTCCCCCCCCCTCTCCCCGCCCTCTAGCGAGCTGGCTTCTCACAATGCGCGCCGTGTGTGTGTGTGTGTGTGTGTGTGTGTTTGTTCAGAACGAGATGCTCAATGCCATGCTGCGAAATAATCGGTCGGAGAGCGACGACGAGTACGACTTCCCGGCAATCCTGCGAAGCAAGGCCTTCTACGACTTCACTCTCGCCACCGCCGAACTTCAACGAGTACGCTCCACCCTCGTCGTCGTGTGTGTGCGTGTGCGTGTGCGTGTGCGTGTGCGTGTGCGTGTGCGTGTGCGTGTGCGTGTGCGTGTGCGTTGCGTGCGATGATGAAATGTGGAACAACAGTGTTGGGCTCACGATACATATTCCTGTTGTGCAGATTCCATTCCTCGAGCTGCATGCTGCGGAGAGGCAGGTCTATTTTATCAATGTATACAACATATTATTTATTCACGCCCAGAGTACGTCAGTCCCTTCTCCGCTCGCTGCTCGCTGCTCGTGTCATTTACCGTGTGTCGTGTGTCGTGTGTCGTGCGTGTGTGTCGTGTGTGTGTCGTGTGGTCCAGTCGTGCACAAACTTTTGGATCTGTCGGGCGGTGCACACTTCCGTTTCTTCTCCGAGATGAGCTACCAGCTGTGGGGCGACATGTACTCGCTCAACGACCTCCAGCATGGCCTCCTTCGCTCCGGTACGCCGCCGCCGTGCATTCCTTACCACGCGCCTCCATTGCTCACATTCCTCCACGAAATGATTATCTTATCTTCTTGTTTTGTGTATTAAAAAACAAAACAAAACAAAACAAAAATCAAACAGATCCAGCGCGGCATCGACGGTGGAAGGGACAGACGAAGGCCAACCGCGCGCTCGACACCCCAACGAAATGGTTCGGCCCACAATCATGTTACGTGTCGTGGGTGTGCCATTGTATGTGTCGTGTGTCGTGTGTCGTGTGTCGTGTGTCGTGTGTCGTGTGTCGTGTGTCGTGTGTCGTTGGTTGTGTCGTGCGCTGATGGTCGTAACGCTGCAGGGTGGGCGCGCTGAGCAAGAGGGACTGCCGGATCCATTTCGTGCTGTTTTCGGGGAACATGTCGTGCGGGTGGGTGCGGAAGCAGCAGGGTGCCGTGGAGGTGCCCTTCATCGATTTCGCCCAGCCCGACCCGCAACTCAACGACGCCATGCAGACCGCCATCATCGAGCAGACCTCGTTCAACTACTCCCGCAAGGAGGTAAAAACACACACGCGCGCGCGCGCACACACACACATACACACGACCAACGACACACGACACACGACACGCACGGCATGCACGAAACACGGCTGACCTGTTGCGTTTTGGTGGCGGTGGTGGCATAGATTCACCTGCCAAAGGTGTTCAAGTGGTATCAATCGGACTTTGGGCAGACGGAGGGCGAGGTCCTCGCTTTCGTCGCCAAGTTTTTCCCCGAGGGCAGCGCCGAACAGAACATCATCAGCAACTACCTCACCCGGTACCGCACCACATGCGCCGCCGCCGCCGCCGCCGCCGTGCACGTGACACGACACACGACGCACACGACATCATCACTCAGTCCTAACCTTAAAAACAACTTAACAACAGGGGCAAGTTCTGTACCAAGTACAAGAGCTTCAACTGGAGTTCGGTGGGGCTAAGCCTCGCCGGCAACTGAAGGTAGCGCGCAACAGGATGTATTTGATTTGAGAAAATTGAGAACAACAACAAAACTTCATATTGTGTTTTTTTGAATTCTTGTTTTTATTTGTCCACTGGAGCACTAAGAGTCAAAGCCCTCGAGATAGTACCCATCATAGTCATTTAGGTCATCGGTCAGGATCATGATCCAATCCACCAGGCTCCAGATGCTGCATGGTTTTGGTTAAGAAAGAACAGGAGTGAACCACAGTTTGTTTTTTTCAAAGAGGGCAGATGCTCGTACTTGACAGCGATGAGACCCAGGGGAGGAAGAATGAGCAGCACTCCCCCCACAACAGAAGCAATCTTGTTACCCCTTCCCGCTCCCCTGTACATGCAAGTCTTCCTGCTGACACACAACAACATAACATGGCAAAGATAGCGAAGAAGAAGGTGTCACGTACATGATGCAACCGGAGATGCAGAAGAGGACGCAGGAGCTCCATGTCATGACGAGCTTGCCCACGCCCTGGCCGATGTAGCCCAGGTAGAAGGACGAGGCGCCCGTAGTCGCACCGATGAAGAACTCAAGCAGGAACGCCGTCGTCTTCTACCCTCGCCAGTACAGTAGTAGTGCCATGGTCAGTCGCAGAAGGCAAACATCTCAATCACTGCTCAACATAAATACCAAATCAACAGTGGTGGAGGTTCGTACAGATTTGCGCTCGTGTTGGCACTGGTAGCCGGTCCAGCCCTTCTTGCAGACGCAAACTTCGTCCGTGCACCAGCCGTGGCCGCTACACACAGTGGTCGCGTCGGGGTCGCACACACCGCCGCCGTTCTCGCCGCCGCGCTGCCTCGTCGAGTACACGCGCGCACCGTCCTCGTCTTCATCGTCGTAGAGTCCGACCTGCTGCTCGCGGCCGCGCAAGTTGTAGCCCAAACCCGCCGACCACAAGTCGGCCACCGGCTCCAGGAAGGCCGACCAGGCCGAGACCTCACCAGTGTCGGCGGTGTCGTTAGCAGTGGCCGGGAGTGCGTAGCAGCCGATGGCCGCCAGGAGTACGAGAAGGGCAAGCGCGAAGGTGGTGTTGTTGCCTGACATGGCGGGGCAGATGTGATGGGTGGGCGGGCCTAAGACGAGATAGCTGGTGGCTCGCTTGCGAGTTTTTGTGATCCAAACGTTGCATAACCAGTAAAAGGAAGGCGCTGTTCTTTTCCGCCACTTGGACTGTGGTTCTAGTTCTTCATGACATGGTAAAAGGAAGGCATAGTCCTTTTCCGCTGTGGTTCCAGTTCTGTTGGAAGCACTGTACCCACTGGAAAAAAACCATGAGGCGCCCTTCTGTGAAGTTGTCACCCACTCCTGGGCAAGCTGGGCACCAAACAAAATGAGCAGCACTGTCAGCCAAAAGTGTGCCATTCACAGCATTCACCCGCCTGCCCACGGGGACAAAGATGGAATTGGGGCTTGACCTCATCTGGGAGCCAACAGTTATGATCAACAAGGATGAAACAGAGCAGAAGTCGGGGGACAGGGTCCCATGTGCACTCATACCTGACAACAGCACATTCTGTAGGTGGTGCGTTCTCTAAGGAGAGAAAATGAATTTTCCTTTCAAACTGGTGTTCTCCATTTTAGGGTCACTGGCTTCTTCACTTCTTTGTTGCTGCAACCGCCATTTGCAAGAGAAGGAAAAGAAAAGAGGGAAGGCACAGACACCATCAAACAACCAAACAACACCAAGCCATCAAAGTCCAAGGAAGGAGATATGAGCCTGAGGGAGGGATACTTGACAAAGCAGGGGGGCAAGGTCAAGACATGGAAGCGCAGGTGGTTCAGCCTCGATTCTGACTATGTGCTACACTACTATACCAACGTGGTACATAATCATCAACCACTCATCCCCTCGTTCCTATGTCGGTGGTATGTGGTGATCATTTCATGTCGCCCCCCCCCTCCAAACAACAGGGCGCAGAGCTGAAGGGAGAGTTCTCCCTGAAGACGGCGGGAGAGATAAGAGAGATCCCCCACAAGAAGAAGTTCCCCTACCTCTTCGAGGTCGAGACGCCCAACCGGACCTACCGCATGGCCGCCGACAACGAAGAAAGCGTACCCCTCCCTCGTCTGCACCACCTCACGCACCTACGCCGCTCACCACCACTCTTCCTGTTTTTGGCAGATGGAGAAGTGGTTGGTTGCACTGAAACGCGCACGAGACGGCACGGTACATGAACCACCCAGCTATGGTTCTCTGTCATTTTGTGCACTCAACTGATGTGTGTGCGTCGTACGGCCGTGCTTCAGGATTCGATGGAGGAGGCGGAGGCGAAGCTGAAGAAGGCCGAGGCCGAGCGACAAAGGGCGCGAGCAGCGGCCGAGGCCGAGGCCGAGCGGCTGCGGAAGGAGGCCGAGGCCGACGCGGCGGTCTGGAGCCTGCAGCCGTCGTCGTGGACCCTGGAGCCCACCACGTTCCCGGCCAAGAGGGACGCTCTCGTCGAGAACGTCTACCCGCGCCTGCTCCACATCCAGGGCGCCAAGCAACCCCATATCTCCATCACCCACGTACGCCACACGCACCCCGTACACAACACGCACACAATGAAAATGACACAACACGACACAACACGACACGACACGCGCTCCAAACATTTAGGTTTGCACATCGAGCGACAGCATCAACGACAGCGACGTGTTCGTGCTGGACAACAACAAGACGGTCTACACCTGGATGGGCAGCGGGGCCAACATCTGGCAGCAGACCGCCGCCGCCACCCTCACCCGCGCCCTCGACGACGAGCGCGGCTCGGACGTGCTCAACCTCGTACTCTCCGGTCTGCACATTCTTTGGCCTTTACTTCCCACTTTGTTGGGCAAGCCGCACTCACCTACACACATACAGACCCGATGGGCTCCGACGCGAAGGAGTTCTGGCGGCTCCTGGGCGGTATGCCTCTGCGACTGTCCACGGCCGCCCCCCAGCCCTACACTCCCGCCATCTTCCGGTACCGTCTGCATTATGTTTTTCGATTGCATCCCACGATACAAACATATATATTGTGTTTTTTTTTCATCTAACGTTTGGCGTTGGTTGCAGGTTGACGGACGCTTCGGGTGAGATGGAGTTCCACCAGGTGGCGAGCGGGAACAACATGTCACGCAGGGTGCTGGACCCCAACGACGTGTTCATCGTCGATCTGGGCTTCCACGTTTTCGTGTGGGTCGGCCAGCAGGCCTCTCGGGGCGAGCGTGACCTGGCGCTGGGCTACGCCCAAGGCTACATGCGGGCCTACGATCGGCCGGACTACCTCCACGTGGACCGGGTCATGGACGGCGGTGAGAACGAACTCCTCTACTGCTTCCTCACCAATTAGTTGATTGATTGATGAATGTACACGATCACCAAGGTCATGGTGATAAAGTAATGATAATATATTGATATGACATGTTTGTGTGTAGTATCGTCCCAAAGAGAAGCTGTGTTGGCTTTTGATTTGGCACAAACACCAGCTTGAAGAATGACCAGTAACATGCCTGACCTTGGAATGTGTGGCGCCCAAAGCATGTTCATGGTGGCTGGGACAGCGATGGGCTCAGTGCTCGCAGAGGAGAACGAGTGCTCCCACAGCCGATTGTTGGCATCGATGAAGTACTTGCGCTCATACCCATTGCTGAGCGATTTTTGCTTCTACCCACAGTCATGACAACACAAGCCGTCCTAGCTCAGTCGGTAGAGCGCAAGACTCTTAATCTTGTGGTCGTGGGTTCGAGCCCCACGGTCGGCTATCTCCTTTTTCTCTGTTGTGGCCCACTCATTTTTTGTTTTTGGTTGTGACCGCGGTCTGCGTGCACTCAAGACGCGTGGCGCAGTGGGGTGGGCGGTAGAGTACTTTATTGCAGTCTCCCCACCATCTTTGCCTCGAGCACACAAGAGACCTCCCGGCACTTCTCCGGCCGGAGAGAGACCATCGGCGCTTTCTGGCCCTTTTGGTTTGGGGAACGTTGACAATGAATGGCCTTGGACCCGATCATCACTCAGTGATGTCGTGCCTGCGAAGAGGTAGAAAGAGAGAGAGAGAGAGAGATCAGCCACAACTCTAAGTGCGGTCGTGTGCGGTTGTGTGCGTGCGGTCGTGTGTGTGTGTGTGTGTGTGTGTGCGGTCGTGTGCAGTTGTATGTGTGCGGTGAGAAGGTGGGGGCGATGCGTACTCCTTCTTGTACTTGGCGACGGCGGCGTCGACCTTCTTCTGCTCGCGGGGGCGGATGATCGTCGGCTGCGGACGCCTCCTGGTGCTGGCCCAGGTCTGGAGGGACGCCATGCGACGCTTCCTCTCCTCCACCACCACATCAACTCCGAAACGCGCCTGCACACACACCCGCAGATCCCGCTCGCTCTGCCTGTGTGCGCACACGGTGAGTGCGTGTGCGGAGGTGTGTGCGGAGATGTGTACGTGCCTACACGCGGAGAGCTCGCCGTGGACGCTGGGACTCTCGAGGCAATCGACCACCTCGTCGAACTCGGAGGCGCACTGCCGCGAGATCTTGTCCAGAGCCGCGTGCGCGCACTGTGTCATCGCCCACCATCCACATCCACACGCGCGCGTTTCATGTGTGAGATTGGCGCAAAGTCGAACGAGTTTCGCTGTTGGCGATTGGTAGCGGCGATTTTTGTAGTGTGAATGAGTGGAGGGGATTGAGATGGGGGGGGGGACCTCGGTCAAGGCCACGTTCTCCGGTACGCAGGCGCGGGGGTTCTCATCCTTGGCCTTGCACTCCAAAAAGTCCAGCTCCTCCGCGGCGCACATGTAGGCTATTATTGCCCCCCCCCGATCAATCAATTGTTTTGGTATAAACGAAAAGAAATCTTCCCCCAAGCCCATCTATAATCGCTTCCATTGCGTAGCGGCAGGGAACTGTTCAAATTAAAGGCTCTCCAGCTTGCCCGGATCCGTTGGGGGGGGGATGTACAAGTGTATTTGGCGCCAGCGACGAGCACGTTAAAATCGGTGGTCTCTACGTCGAGATGGGTGCGCCCGCCGGCGTTGATGTCAGCGTAAAGCTGCTCGCCCTCCTTCCTCGTTGACGCCATGGCAGCTAACTTTAATCGAGGATTAAAACTATGTTGAATTTGCAGACCTCCCAACAATGCGCGACGATTAATTGCAGACACCAAGGAAAATACAAATAAATGACATTTTATTTCTTTATCTTCGCATTTATCTCTTTCGCGTTTCTTGTGGTCCACCTTCAGCTGCTGGTTGCGACCCCATCAGCTTTGGCTTCGTCATCGGCGTCGGCCTCACGTGATGCACCGCCGATGGCCAGGTCGGCGAAGCACGACGCGAATTGCGCGACGAACTGGCGTCGGTCCGCCTCCAGCTCGCGCTCCAGCTTCTCCAGCTCGGCCTCCATCGTCTTCTCCTTCTCTTCCTTCTCCGTCTCCGTCTCGTTCTCCTCCGTCTTGCCTTCGCTTTCGCTCTCGTCGGCGCTGCCATCGGCGTGGTCAGTCTTCGTCGGCCTAACCTCATCGGTGTTGGCCGTCGAAATCGCCGGCCTGTTGCCGTTGCTCTTCAGCATTCGCTGCTCCTTCTTCCTCCTGTTCTTGCCCACCTTCTTCTCCTCCGAATCCGCCGCAGCGGCCGTCGCCGTCGCCGTCGAGCCGCGGTCGACGCCGGGCGTGGGCGTAGCGTCGAGAGGGGCAGCGGCGGCGGGCAATGGAAGAAGCGACGGCGAGGCCATGCGGCCCGCCTTGGCACCGACCGAGGGCAGGAAGGCCGCCAGCGAGCGCTTGGTCGACGACCGCAGAGCCGGCGACGCCGATGGCGATGGCGAAGATGGTGGCGAAGATGAAGAGGACAACGACGTCGGCGCGGCGGTGGTGTTGGTGGCGGAGAGGGGCGCGGGCGAGTAGGTCGAAGGCGAGGGTGAGTAGAGGGAGGACGGGAGGCTGAAGGAGGAGAAGAACGAGCTCGAGAAGTCGGCGAAGGAGAACGGCGGCAGCGCGCCGGTGGCCGCCGGCGGCGCCGTGGACGCGCCCCTCATCCCGTCGCTGGTCACGCCCAGCGTCGGGCCGAACGCGAGAATGGCCTCGTCCGCCTTCACCTCCACTTCACCGTCGCCGTCGGGGTCCTCCTCCTCCGCGACGGCGTCGGTCTTCCTCTGCCCGCTCTGTCCCTGGTGATCATTATCGTCGACAACGACCAGGGCTGCAGCGCTGGGGACATCACCACCGGCGGCCAGTGCCACGTCAGCATCGGTGCCGTCCTCGGTGTTGATGTTGGCTGCGGTGGCATCGTCGCCGACGGCTGCTGCCGGGCTCGCGGGCCGCTCCTTGAGTTCGCTCGCGGGCGCCGTCGCCTCCTTAAGGAAGTCGGGCGACGCGGCGTGAGTCGTCGTCTCGTCGCTGCTGGCGGCGGCGGCGGAGGTCGCGGCCGCCTCTGGGGTCGGAATCCACGAGAGGGAGACGAGTTCGCTGGTGTCGGCGCTCAGCCTGGCCAGGTCCGCCTCCAGGTCCCGCATCTTCTGCTCGCAGTTCTCCGCCTCCTGCGCGGTGTGCGAACGCACCTCGTTCTCTTCTTTCGCCACCTCTTCGCGCTTGTCGGTTGTCTCCACATTCGTGACGCCCACCGGCCGGTGGTCGAGAAGGCCCTCGTCGCCCACCGGCGCAGCTGCTGTCATTTCCTCAGCCGTGTCAGGGGCCGCCGCAGCCCGTCCGTGGTCGGCCTCGCCACCGCGTTCTCCGTCGTGTCGACAAATGGTGGCGGTGGCGTCAGCCTCGGCATTAGAAATGACAGCATCGACCACGGCGTTGTCGGGCGTCGTGGCGCGTTTCGGCTTCTTGCTCGCAGTCGCGGTCACTTCGCCGGCCGCGCGGCGATCGCCGGGATTGGCGGCTTCGGCCGCTGTGGCTTGCTGGGAACCGTCGGCCGGACCGGTGCCGCTCCAGGTCTTGAGCCACACCGGCGCCACCCGGCCGTCACGATGGACCGGCCGGCGCAGCGGGAAGAGCAGCGGCACAGGACTCGGCTGCAGCGCTGCAGACGCCGACGACGCCGGCCCCGGTGTTGTCGTTGTTGCTGCTCCCACGCCACCACTCTCTAGCGTGCCTCGAATTCCAGAGCCGCCGCCGCTGTGGGCTCGCGGCGTCAGGGGCCTCATGGTCAGGCCGCCGCCGTCGTCGAGGTTGGTGTCCATCGACGTGGAGGACGACGACGACGACGATGCCGGCGAGTCGTGGTGGTCGGACCTCCGCTTCTCGCCACGCCTCTCCTGCCGGCGCTCCTTGCCGCGCTGCTCGATGAAGTCGCGCACCTCGGCGCCGCTCTTGAGGCAGTGGTTGCCGGCGTCTCGCCGCACCCACGCCCTGTCCTCCCGGTTGAAATAGAGCCGCGTACCACCTGTGTCGTGTCGTGTCGTTGTTCGTGTCGTGTCGTGTCGTGTGTCGTCAGCCGGTTGCACAGCCAACGAGATGCGGCCAAGACAGTGAGGGGAGAGTACCGGTGATGTGGATCTCGACGACGTAGAGGTCCTTGATGAGAGCGGTGGCCCGGGCGTTGCACACCGGTACGATCTCGATCCGGTAGAGGTGCGGGTCGGGCACCGGGTTGAAGGTCTCCATCTTGGCCCAGATCATGTTCTTCAGCGAGTCGAGCTGGTCGCGCGTGATGCTCACCCCGATCACCTGCCCGCTGTCGTGGATGCCAAAGTAGAGCGTCCCTAGAGAGCGGCGCTGACGTCAGCACCACCGCATAAGAATAAATAAACAAAAATAAATAAACAAAAATGATAAATAATAATAATACGAGTAACCGTTGGCCGTACCTCCGTCTCGGGAGTTGAGGAAGGCGGAGAGGTTGGCCTCCAGCTTGGGGTGGTTGATGATCGCGAAGTAGTGCTCTTTCTTGTTGCGCGCCACGTCCTTGAACTCGTGCGCAAAGTCCTCTGTGCACACGCACGCGCACACGCACACATGCGATCGCGGTGGTGAGCCTTCACCCACACCCGCGACCAGCGAAGGAAGAGATTCGGGGAATGGATCATCATCATCGCCACGGTACCGAGGAATGGCACGTAGGAGCCCTTGATGTAGTACCGCTTGAAGTAGGACAGGTCCATGGGCACCGGGAACGAGCGCAGCGCGAACGGCGACGACGCCGGCGGCGGGAAGGCCGTGTAGACGGGGGCCGACGGGGCGGGCGACAGCGCGCTGAAGCCGGGCGATGGCGACGGTGCAGGCGACGGTGCGCCCATTGCCGCGGCTGCGGCGGCGGAGGCCGAAGCCAGGGGTGAATAAGGCGAATGGGGCGGCGGCGGGAGGGCGAAGAGCGGCGGCGAGAGCGGGGTGCCGCTGGTGAAGAGCGACGCGGCGGGCGCCGTGGGCGCGAAGGCATAGTCGCGCGTCGCGGCGTGGATGCGGTGCAGGAGCGCGTCGGCCTCGAACAACGGTGCGGGCGTCGTCGTGTCGCCATCGTCGCCCGCCGCCGCGACCTGCCGGCCCAGCTGCTCGACCAGCTCGTAAAGCTCCTCGTAGAGGCGCGTCACCCGCGTGCGGTTCGCCGCGTTTCGCGCGCGCAGCCGCGAACCTGGCGCAAGCTGCGCCGCGTCGACTTCCTTGTGCGGTGCTGGCGGTGCTGATGTCGATGACGTCAGCACCAGCGGCGACGGAGCGCTCGCGGGCTTGTCGTCGAGAAGCGTCTTCGACGGCGTCCGATAGATGATTCGCTCTTCTTCTTCACCACCATCGGCGTCGGCCTCGTCCCTTGCACTGTGGCCGGCACAAGCGACGGGCATCGGTGGCGGCGGCAGCAAGTCGAGAGGCGGCTGCGCGTCAGCGTCGGCGTCGGTGGCAGCGACGGCGGAATCGAAGAATCCCTGCAGGGAGCGAGGCAGCAGCGAGGCCGGCGGCGGCGATGGTGCGCGGTCGAATGCGACGGCTGTGGCGGGGGAGGGCAGGGGGTAGGGCGGCGACGAGGTGTCGATGAGGGAGAAGAGGCTCGGGCGGGTCTGGGTGCCCCGGTTGCCCAGCTGGTAGTCCTCCCAGCGCAGCTCCTCGAACGACTTGCCGCAGTACTCCGGCATCGCCGAGATCGTGTGAAACATGAGCGTCTTGTTCACGCACTTGGTCTGCGCTCACCCCACATAGCACCACGACACGACACACGACACGCACGCAACACGATGATAAGCAACTGGATGAAAGGCATGTGCGCGGGAGGTGCGCGTACGATGGTGATGGAAAATTTAGGGTCGCCGGTGCCCACGCCCTTGACCCGCTTGGTCTCCACCGGCGCGGGTACGTCAGCAGACGGCTGCGGCTGTGGCGGCGGCGGGGTGAAGAGCGCGTTGGTGAGGAAGGACAGCGGGATGAGCTCCTCCACCTTCTCCTGCTGCGGCCTCCGCCGTCCGCCCGTGTTCCGCCTCACGAACGGCTCCGGCTGCTGTTGCCCGCCAGTCATTGCCGTCGTCGCCGACTGCGCCGCTTCGTCGGGTATCGAGTGGGCCTCGTGCGGCTGCGGCTGCTGCTGTTGGTGGTGGTCGCTGGTGGAAGCGAGCCCGCTGGGCTCGTCGGCGTACTCGGCGTCGAGCTCGTCGCGTTCGTGGTCGTCGTCGAAGGCGGCCTCGGCCTCGGCCTCGTCGTCCTCTTCGTCCCCGGGGTGGCCGTTGCTGTTGGTCGACGACGACGCATCGGTCCCGTGCGGGAGCTCCAGCCCGCCGCCCACCTTGCTCCGGCTCCGGGCGCGCGCGCCGCGCTTGCGTGCCCGGTTCTTCTTTGCAGTCAGCTGGCCGTCCGCCGCCGCTGCTGCGGGAGTCGCCGGTGTCGCCGCCACGGTCACGGCCTTGGTCGCGGCTGCCACCACCGCCGCTGCCGTGATCGCCGGTTTCTTCCGCCGCACGGCAGCACTCACCGCGGGCGCCGCTGTGCAGTCGACGCCGTTGGCCTCGGCGGCGGCGGCCAGCGCTGACGATGACTGCGGCGGCGGCGTGGGCGGAGGAGCCAGTGCGGGCGAAGCCGGGAAGAGCGGCGTGGGCAACAGCCCGAGTCCCGCGCTGGCAGCGGGCGTAGCCGGTGTGGTCGATGACGACGCCGACGCTGGCGAAGATGTATGTACAGGAGAAGTACCAGAAGAAGTCGTAGAAGAAAATGTAGCGGAAGGCTGTGGTGAAGATGTGGTGGTGTGTGGGGTAGGGGACGTAGCGGCATCGGCGGTGGCGGTGGTGGCGGTGGCGGTTGATGACGGCGGGGCGCCGGCCAGGTGTGCACGTAGCAGCGCAAGCAGCTCGTCGACGCTGGACTGCGACGCCAGCACGGTGGCGGCGGCGGGAGGCGGGTCCTGCGGGGGCAGCAACGATGGTGTGGTGCCGTTCCTCTTGTGGAGCTGGGCCTCGACGTAGGCCAGCAGCGAGGCGGCCGCGGCCGCGGTAGAGGCGGACTCGAGTGGGTCTGAAGCCAAAGATGAAGATGAAGTGTTGCCGCCGTTGCGGTGTGGCTTGGACACCTGCTGAGCAGGGGAGGGTGGTGCCTGCTGCTGGAAGAGATGCTTCGTGCGGGGGCTGGTGGCCAGCTTTGTAGAGGAGGAAGAAGATGGCGCTGCGACGGGGGCGGGCTGCAGTTCCTGGTGGGCGATGGGCAGGTGGTTGCAGTAGTCGCAGCGGTTGACCATGGGCAGAACGTAGCGCCTGCAACTGCACTCGCGACAGCCACCTCGCATCACCCCCTGTGCATCCTCCATTTCTCGTGTAGCTCGCTCGATTCGCTCAGAAATCGCTGGTGCTGCTGATGAAAGCACTGGCCTGCCACAAGATCGGCCTCACACTGTACAGCGAATGGAGGACTGGCGAGCTTTGGGAATGGGCCAACTGTTCAGCTTCTTCTCTTCTCTCTTTTTTCCACTGTTGATTTATTCTTGTTCTTTTTCAATATCTTTCACCCGCGGAGTTGCTGTTCCATTTCTCATCTGCACACATCCGAGGCCTTGGTGGTAGAGACGGTCGAGCAGACAAATGGGAAAGGTGAAGAAGGAGAGGGCGGGCAAGGAGGCCCGCCAACAGGCCGCCCCGATGCATGAGTTCCAAATGAGTGCGTACGCCCAAACCAAAATCGCATCAACAGATTAATGGTTGCAACAAGGCATTGGGCCTCATTCTTACCTCTCAATTCTCGCATAGACAAGAGCTTTGGTCAGCACTTGCTCAAGAATCCCCAAATCATTGAAGGAATTGTCACCAAGGTACCGCTCTTGTTGTGATTTAATCGCTCGCTCGCGAGTAGTACTCAAGATTTCCCCCTGTCGCGTGCAGGCCAAGCTGAAGTCCACCGACGTGGTGTTGGAGATTGGTCCCGGTACGGGCAATCTTACGATGAAGATGCTGCCCCTGGTGAAGAAGGTCATCGCCGTAGAGCTTGACCCGCGGATGGTTGCCGAACTCCAAAAGCGCGTGCAGGGAACGTACGTTCAGCTGGTGTTGTGCGTGTGCGTGTGCGTGTGCTGGCGGTGCGTGCTCACTAGGCTTGACTTACGTGTACCTCGATGGTGCGGTGCGCAGTGCCCACGGACACAAGCTCGAGCTCATCCTGTGCGACTTCATGAAGGTCAACCTGCCCTACTTCGACGTCTGCGTCGCCAACGTGCCCTACCAGATCTCCTCCCCTCTCGTCTTCAAACTGCTCTCCCACCGGCCCGTGCCCAGGTCTCCTTCCTTCCCTTCTCCCACCTATCACCATCATCGGCGTCACCGTCATCATGTAGCTGATCATGACGGGACCACATGTCTCACATGACCGCGCTCACCGGTTTCAACACAGGTGCGCCGTGCTCATGTTCCAGCGTGAGTTTGCCATGCGTCTGGTCGCGCCGCCCGGCGATCCCCTCTACTGCCGTCTCTCCGTCAACACACAGCTCCTCTCCAAGACCACACACCTGATGAAGGCAACCACTCCCCTTTCTTTCTTTCTTTCTTTATTGATTTATTCTCTATTATATAATCATTTAAATTAAGAATGATCATTAATGGCATTATTTATCTATATTTCTTATACTTATTTCTATATATATATATTAAAACAATCAGATCTCGAAGCACAACTTCCGGCCGCCGCCGAAGGTGGAGTCGTCGGTGGTGCGGATCAAGCCCAAGAACCCGCCACCGCCCATCAACTTCGAGGAGTGGGACGGTCTCGTGCGGCTGTGCTTCACGCGTAAGAACAAGTCCCTGTCCGCCATTTTCCGCGCCAAGTCGGTGATCGACCTGCTCCAGAGCAACTACAGCACCTACTGCGCGCTCAACAACGTGGTACGTGCCGCCCCGTGGCTCGGTGTTTTGTTCTGGTGTGTCGTGTGTCGTGTGTCGTGTGTCGTGTGTCGTGTGTCGTGTGTCGTGTCTCACGATTGCTCGCATGTGCGCACACGTTCAGAAACTGCCGGAGGGCTTCGACCTTAAGACGAAGGTGATCGAGATTTTGGAGCAGAACGATTTCCTCGAGAAGCGTTCCTCGAAGCTCGACATCGACGACTTCCTCCGGCTCCTGTCCTGCTTCAACCAGGAGGGCATCCACTTTGCTTGAGTTGTGGCCACCTTGCAGCTGACGTCACGCATTGTCGACACCAATAAATAAATAATAATAAATTGTTTTTTATTTCACATTTTTCGTGCCTGCACACACAAATCGATACTCTCCTGGTGCTCCGAGGCAGCTTCAGGTACCGCCTTAGCTCCTGATTTGCTGATTTCCAACACTAGCTCGGAAGGAAGAGCAACTCGCCTTGCCAAGCCCATTTTCTCAACTCAATCTCGGTTGTAGAGAGTAGAAAAATGGAAGCCACGATTGTGTCTCCGCAGACGACGTTGTCGCCCGATCGCTCGCGTCAGAGAGCTATCCAGCATGGCACGGCGCCTGGAAAGGCGCACCTCAAGAAGTACACTTTCACCATGGGTAAGCTTCCCGCCCCTTCCATCCCTCCTTTGCATCTCGATTTCGAGAAAATCCTGCAAACTGGTGAGCCCACAAATCAATGGGCCACGTCTGCAGTCGACCCCTCCGCGGGTCTGTACCCAGCTCACACAAATGCATCTTCTTCCTAATCTCCGCTGCTGCATTGAATGCCAGGTCGCCCGCCGTGGTACTCGGACGCGGAGGACGGTCGGCGCCTGCAGTCGCTCGTCATTGGCGTCGCCGGAGGTACGGCCTCTGGCAAGAGCTCCGTGTGCCGCGAGATCGTCAGGTGCGCTATCTCAGCTTAGTCCCTCTCTCGGCTGTGTGTAGTGTGTGGTGTGTTGTAGCGGTGGGGAGTAACTGAACCTCCGCGTCATCGCTGTCGTGTTGTGCGTGTCGTTTGTGTTGTGTGTCATTGCGACAGTCGCCTGCGAGTGCAGTGGGTGGCCCATCTGTCCCTGGACTACTTCTACCGCAGCCTTTTGCCCACGGAGGACCCCAAGACCTATAACTTTGACCACCCTGGTATGTCACACACGACGACTCGACACGCACGCACGACACGCACGCACGACACGCACACGACACGCACACGACACGACACGCGCTAACGGTGTTGTTGTGGGCGTGGTGCAGAGGCCTTCGATTGGGAATTGGTGAAGGAGACGCTGCGCCAGCTCAAGGAGGGCAAGAAGGTGGACGTGCCCACCTACGACTTTAAGACCCACAAGCGGACCAACGTGACCAAGACCCTCTACGGCGCCGACGTCATCCTGTTCGAGGGCATCTTATCCTTCCACGAGAAGGACGTGCGCGATTTGATGGACATCAAGATCTTCGTCGACGAGGACGCCGACATCAGGTTGTCCAGGAGAAGTACGCCCTTCTCCCTTCCGTGTTGACACCACCCCACATTGCTCACCACACACGCACACACGCGCACACACCACACACGCGCACACGCACACACCATGCGGCGGGTGCAGTCCGTAGAGATATTGCCGAGAGGGGGCGAGATGTGATGGGCGTCATCCAGCAGTACGAACGATTCGTCAAGCCCGCCCACGAGGACTTTGTCAAGCCGGTACGTCGCATTGATACCCAAACCAGTGATTCACTCCAAAATACTAACAAAACCTTTGCGTTTCCGTTTCATTTCATGTTTCGTTTTGCGTTTGGTTTGGTTTGGTTTCGTTTCAGACCATGCAATGGGCGGACCTGATCATTCCCAAGGGCATCAAGAACGAGGTCGCCATCAACATCATCTGTAAGCACATTGAACTCACTCTCCGGGTTCGTAGACTCCACACGCCCTGCCCACGTTTGTGGACGCACCAGTCCCAGCCCCCCCCCAAATCAGTGCATCATGTTTGACACCTGATGGCCCAACTCTTTTCCCTCTTTTTTCTTTCTCTTTCTTTGGTCGAACAGGAGCGCGGATTCGATCCCAAGCTGAGCCGCAAGTTGCCCCACTGGACGACGATCCCGGCCAACATTCACATCATGGAGCAGACCGAGCACCTGCGCGCGCTGCACACCATCATCAGAGACAAGGCCACTCCCCTCGGAGACTTTGTCTTCTTCTCCAACCGTCTCTCTCGATTGGTGCGGTGCTCTCCGTGTTACGTTATTGGACTGTTTTGCGTTGACATAAAAAGCTGACCACACACACGACACGACACACACACAACACGACACACACACAACGACGCATAGGTAATTGAGGAAGTGCTCAATCAATTGCCGGTCGTCTACGACGAGAAGGTGGTCTCCACGCCCGTGCCGGGCCAGGAGTACCAGGGCTACGACATCCGAAACATCACCAGCAAGGTGGCCTTCATCTCGGTCATGCGAGCCGGCGAGGCCATGGAGGAGGCGGTCCGCGAGGTGCTCATCGGTGCTCCCATCGGCAAGATCCTCATCCAGTCGCACGGCCAGAAGAGGCCCGAGGTACTCCTCTTTTTTGACACGACACGACCAACGACACGACCAACGACACGACCAACGACACGACACAGTTTGATCTATTAATTCATTTATTTTCCCTTTGTTGTGCAGCTCTTCTACTACAAGATGCCGCGTAAGCTGAGCGAGTGCAAGGTCATCGTGATGGACCCCATGCTCGCCACCGGCGAGTCGCTCAAGATGGTAAGCGACCCCCCCTCTCAACCTCTCAACCTCTCTTCGTTCTTTGTTTCTCGCTTTCCTTTCGTTCTTTCTTGCTTTCCTTTTCTTTCTCTCATCATCAGTGCGCAGGCGATTCGGGTGATTCTCGACCACAACGTGCCGGAGGAGAACATCCTGGTGGCCACCCTCATCGCCTCGCCCCAGGGCCTCCACTCCCTCTCCTACTCGTTCCCCAAGGTGCAGATCGTGACGAGCGCGATGGACACGGACCTCAACGAGAAGTTCTACATCATGCCCGGCATCGGCAACTTCGGCGATCGCTACTTCGGCACCACCACCAGCACCGCTTGAGCGTGTCAAGTGCGAGTACAAAAGCACACCCGTTGGGTGACCCCAGACCAGTGTGGGTAGCCACGTGTGATCTGGACTTCTCCTTTTAATGAAGAGGAGTGTGGCGACAGACTTCGCTTGGAGTTTCGTGGTGACCTACTAAGCGATTGCGGGCAGTTGTCATGCAGCAAAGAAAAAAGCAGCCAACCAGCAACTAGGTCTATGTTACCAAGCGCTGGCAGTTGTCATGCAGCAAGCAGCCAACCAGCAACTAGAGGGTGTGTATTTTCTGTCGACTTGCACCTGCTGCTCGGTGTACCCTTAGTTCGTCCCATGACTTTTGCATTTTCCAGTCGTACAAACAAGCAGCTGAGGATGTCCGCCAACTCGCCAGTACCAGCTTCGGACCACTCCATGGTCACCTTTCTACGTCAGCGCTACAGCTTCCAAGAGGGTGATACGTGGGAGTTCGAAGTCAAGGGTACCACACACGCCGGCACGCTTCGGATCAACGGCCCGACTGTCTACTTCGCCCACACCCAAGATTCCCAAGTGGCCAGTATGTCATTGCATGCCCTTCCCCTTCTGCCAGCCACGTGCGGGTGCTCAGAGTGCGTGGGGTGATGTGTTGCGTGTGTGCGATGTCTGCGTGAAGCCTCGCCCAATGCTCTCTACAAGGCGCTCGCCAGGGTCAGCAGCAACATGGGCGGTCCTCAGTACAGCAAGCTCTTGGTGCAGTTTCACAGGAGTGGGAAGGAGAAGGCCTGGAAGCAGCTCACCGACGAATGGAAATCCGGCGACTGGAGCTCCCCTACCCCCGCCCCCAAAATTGCCAAAAAAGAACCGCGAGTCCTCTTCCCAGAGGCTGAGCCAGGCGCCGATTCGAGTTCCGGCCCAGAGGTGGCGCCTGGGCAGGGCAGAAAGGCAAGGCGGCGTCGGTGGAAGCCCGAGGAAGAGAAGGCGGTCTTTCACTCCACCGCGGGCACATGCTACCTCTGCCGAGGCCAGCTCGTGTTTGAGAACCGGAAGAGGGGTCTGCCAGGTGCGTGGCACATCGAACACGTGATCCCATTCGCCACGAATCCCGAGATGGACGTCTGTGCCAACCTACTTCCCGCCCACGCCGAGTGCAATGTGACGAAGGGAGCCAGGACGTACGTTTAGCTGCCACACCACCCGCTCGCAACAGCCAGTGTGAATGTACTCTGACACAGTTGTGCGGTGGTGGTGGTGCTGGCGGCAAACAGCATCACAGAGGCGGTGGAGCGGTTTGACCAGCTCACCGTGGACACGAGAGTCCTAACCATGGAGAAGATTCACCCATACGTGCGCGAGAAGCTCGTTGAAGCCAAGAAGCGCTGCTGGGAGCGCAAGGGCTTGCTGGTGGTCACCATGAGCCTCGACGAAAACGAGTCCATCAACTGTGAGCCCTTTGGTACGCTTGGAGATTGTCTCACCGGAAAGTGGTTCATCAGAATCACACTCACACTACACACAATATGCCATGCTACCACACAGTTGAAGACGAGGACGACAGTGAAGAGCAAGAAGGCGAGGAAGACAGCAAGGAAGAAAGCGATGAGGAGGAGAAGGAGGAGGAGGAGGACGTAGTGCGCGCCAGAAAACTGAGCGGGGTAACGCTGGGCAAGAAGCTGAGCTGGGGTGGACATGCCGTGGTCCACCAAGGCTCGTGGAAGGGACAGACTGTGGCGCTGAAGAAGGCCCTGGCGGGCAAGGAACAGTACCTCATCAAGGAGATCAACATCCTTTGGTCTGTCTTCCACTTGCTGTGCTTGTGTGCCAATGAACGTACCCTCACTCGTGTGCTTCGGGTGTGTTTACGCCAGGGGTCTACGTCACGACAACTTGGTGGAGATCTATGGCTACTGGATTGATGAGTCAGCGGACCTGTGGATGGTCATGGAGTACCTGCCGGCCGGCGATCTCAGGGTAGCTCTTCCCAAGGTCTCCCCGATCAGGGTGATGCAGGACATCGCTAGCGCAATGGTGTACCTGCATAGCATGAGGATCATCCATCGCGACCTGAAACCCGGCAACATCCTGGTACTCCCGCCGTCCACGAGCACCTCCAAGCTCGAACAAAGAACTAACTCTGGTGGCCTCCACAACAACTCTGGCGTCTCTAGATCACGAAAGACAAAAGAGCAAAGATTGCGGACTTCGGGACGGCCAGGTTCTTGGTGAAGCACGCCGAGAACCTCACCATTGTCTACTCCGGAGGCTCCCACGCGCCCGAGCTGCGAAGTCAGAAGTACGACCTGTCGCTCGACGTCCACTGCTACGGGAGGCTCTTCCAGCAGATCCACGGCATGAAATACCCGGAAGGTTCGCGATTCGAACGCGAACTCATAGAGCTGGCCAAGCGCTGCACTGTTGAAAACCCGAAGCAGCGCCCCACCTTCGAGAAGATCCTGACCGAGCTAACCAGGCTGGCGCGCGAGAGATGATGACGACATGTACGCTTTGGAGTCTTTCTCCCTAGCTGCCCTGAAGAAGATTTGGCCCACGCTCCGCCGGAGAGTAGAGTTGGCTCATGTCCTGCCGCGTCATTGAACAAGGCGGTGTTTTAAGGTAGCAGTGGTGAGTTGAAACAAATTACAAATCCAATCAGATAATAGCAAAAAAAGAAACAAAAATTAAAGGCCAAATTTATGGGTATTGGGTAACTTTTACCTCACTCGGCACAGGCCGTTTGTGTCGCCTTCGTGAGCAGCTACGTCCGGTCACCCAAAGATGCAGACAAGTGCCGACACGGTTCGCCAATTTCCAATCATCTTGATTTTTGTTTCCGAACCGTCAATGTTGATCGTTGTAAATTGGATATTTTTTTTTGCAATTTAATCTTTTGTGTAATTTAATTTGACCTTGTGAGGAAATGTATGTTAATTGGCTGCACGACGTCGGCGCAGGTGGAGGGCTGGCTGCTCAAGCAGGGCGCCAAGGGCCTGCGCAAGGGCTTCAAGAAGCGGTGGTTCTCGCTCCATGCCAACCGCCTCCACTACTTCGAAAACAAGGGCGACCCGCAGGCCAAGTCCCTCGGCTTCATCGACATCCTCGCCGCCAGCGCCGTCGTCCCCGCCTTCCCCACGCCCTCCTCCACCAACTCCTCCACCAAGGTCCGTGCGTGTGTGCGTGCGTGTGCGGTGTGTGCGTGTTCTTAACGTGTGTCGTGTCGTGTCGTGCGCACACGCACAGAGCGCGGGCAACTGCGAGTTTCAGGTGGTGACGCCGCAGCGCGTCTACGCGCTGGTGGCGGCGTCCGAGCAGGAGATGAAGCAGTGGGTCGCGGCCCTGGACACCCACCGCCAGCGCCTCATCCGCCAGAGCCGCGACGGCCAGGACGCGGCCAACCTGCGCCGCGGCAGCGTCGGCGCCCTGTCGTCGCCGGCGTCGGCCTTCGTGGCCGGCACCAGCAGCGGCCGCCCGCAGCCGCCCACCGCCCGCCGGGCCGTCCACACCATGACGCCCCAGCAGGGCCGCCAGTTCGAGATCGGCCGCCGCCCGACCGACGCCACGGCGACCGTCCACACCACCGAGCCCACGTCAGGCTCTGCTGGCGCTGCCATGTCATCATCGCCGTCGGCCGTGTCGCGCGAGCTGAGCGGGCTGTCGCTGCAGAGCGGGTCCAACCGGCGCAGCGTGCTGTCGTCATCGCAGACGCTCACGGCCGTCGACGACGCCGTGGCCCACATCAACGTCGGCGACGGAAGCGAGGGCGTCGGCAGTGAAGGCGGTGGTGGCTCGGGCGGCGAAGATGCGGGGCTCGCGCGGGAGAACAAGCGGCTTCAGTTCAAGGTGGCCGAGCTGGAGCGCGACCTGGACGAGCGCGAGGAGATGCTCAAGGAGCTCAAGCGCGAGATTGTGAAGGACCTGCGCGAGCTGGCCGACAAGCACCGCCAGCGCGACGACGAGATGCGCCAACTGCGCGACGAGCTGGCCTTTGCCCACCAGAAGCTGAACGAGCTCCAGCCCCCCAAGAGCGAAAGCGAAGAAAAGAGCGAAAGCGAAAAGAGCGAAAACGGCGCCAGTGGTGACAAGGACGCGGTGATTCGCGACCAGCAGCGGCAGATCGAGGGGCTCAAGGCGCAGCTGCAGGAGCGCATCGAGGAGGAAGCGGCCAAGATGCGGGAGAAGGTGCGGTTCGCGATCGACAAGCTCAAGCAGGAGCAGGAGGCCGAGATCCGCAGGCTCTCCCAGCAGAAGGTCGGAGCCGCCGGTGGCGCCGGCGACGACGCCGAACAGCTGCGGCAGGAGAACGCGGCCCTGCGCGAGGAGGTGAAGCGGGTCGTGGAGAAGATGGACGCGCTCGTTCGCAAGGCCCACCAGTGTGCGTTGCCCCCTCCCCTCTATCTCTCTCCTCGCCTTCGTTCTTCTTTCTCTTTTCTTCTCTCTTCTCTTTTCGGGCGAGAATGTTCTTTTTCATCCCGTCCCTTATATGCGCTCCGGCTGTGTCGTCGTTCTTCGTGTCACGTGCTTACATACTCCTCCTCTCTCTTGCGTGTCGTGTGTCGTGTGTCGTGTGTTGTGTGTCGTGTGTCGCGTCGCGTGTGTCGTGTGTCGTGTGTGTCTACATTTCTTTTTTTCCCACTTTCCCGACCACAGAAATGCCATGCGTGTCGTGTCGTGTCGTGTTGTTATTTTACACTTTTGTTTTTGTAGAGTGTTATCTCTCTTTCGCTTCGCTCTTCATCTCTTTTTCGAGTGATGATGTACCACGGCACCTGATGTACTCCTATTTACGTTCGTTTACGTTCGCTTCATTCGCTCCTCCTTTCTTCGCCTCTTTTTCTCTTCTTCGTTTCCGCGGCGGCCCCTCCCCCCAGTGCTGCTGGGCGCCACAGGAGCCGACGAGGGCGCGGCCGCGGTGGTCGAGCCAGAGCCAGAGCCAGTCGGCAAGCGGGCGGATGACGTCAGCACCCTACAGGTCGAGGCGGGCGGCAAGCGGGCGGATGACGTCAGCACCGCCAGTGACACGGAGGGAGGCGTGGTGACCTACGGCCGCAGGAAGGTCGCCCTGTCCAAGCCGGACCCGGGCGATGAAGATGACGATGAAGATGATGAAGATGATGACGATGACGATGACGAAGAAGAAGATGATGATGAAGATGACGAAAGTGATGAAGAGGACGATGCGGACGACAACCTATTGCGGGCCGAGGCGCTCTACGACTTTGCGGCCCGCAACGAAAACGAGATCAGCTTCACCAAGGGAGGTGCGTGGCCCGTCCTACTGCGCCGCTCTTGGTTGCTCCCCCCCCGACTCATGCGAATCGTCGTTGGTCGTGTGCGTGTCGTGTCGTGTTGCATGTCGTGTTGCGTGTCGTGTGTGCGGCGCGTGCAGAGGTCTTGATCGTGCACGAGAAGGACACCAGCGGGTGGTGGAAGGCGGAGGTGCGAAGGAAGCGGAAGAAGCAGGGGCGAGGCAGCGCCGCCACCAGCGGCGCACCTGCGGCGGCGACGATCGGGGTGGTGCCCTCCAACTACCTCCGCGTCCTCTACAAGGCCCCCTCCTTCAACTTTAAGCTCTCCTCTAAGGTTCTCCGATTTTGCTGCATTTTATTTCTACGTTTATTTATTTCTACGCTTGTATTTTTTATTATTTTTATTATTAATTTTATTTAAATACTGAAAATAATGACTGTGCGATTTTTGCAGGTGAATCTGTCGATTAGGGAACTGCAGAAGAAGTGCGGCTTCATCACGCCTGAAGAGACGAAGAAAACCACCACGACGAAGGAAAAGAAGAAGAAGAAGAGAAAGAAGACGAGGAAGACGACGACGACGAAGAAGAACGACGACGACGCAATCAACGCCAATGGCGGCGGTAACGACGACGAAGGTGACGAAGAGCTGAAGAGCATCAGGCAGCGCACGGCCTCCATCTCGGAGAATCGGGCCGAGATGATCGCCGGCGTGCAGGCCCTGCTGCTCGAGCAGCGCGGCTTCCTGGCCCGCCAGAAGGAGCTCCTCCGCACCCGCACCCCCACCGCCCGGCCCGACCTGGTGCGCGACCTGCAGGCCGGCAGCGGCGGCGGCGAGTCGACGTCCACGGGCTCGGCGGCGGCCCTGGTCCACCTCACCCGCAGCCGGCCGACGATCTCCGGCAAGCGCCGGCCCAGCCGCCGGCTCCGCTCGGCCCACGTCAACTCCGACGTCCGAGCCCCCACCGGCGCCGGCGAAAACGAAAGCGAAAAGGAAAAAGAAGAAGAGCGAAACGAAGAACTAAACGAAAAGGAAAACGAAAAGGAAAGCGAAAGCGAAAGCGACAAGGAGGAAGAACGAGAAGAGGTGGTCGATGAAGAGCAGGAGACGACGTCGATGGCGACGATGATGAAGGAGCTGCAGTGGCGTCTGGAGAAGGCTGAGGAGGTGATCGAGGCCAACCGAATGGAGCTCGAGATGGCGACGGAGAAGGAGATGATCCTGCGCCTCGAGATGCGGTCGCTCTCGCTCGAATCCAAGACCAGCCAGGCCGAGGTCGAGCTCGAGCGCGAGCGGGCGGCCGAGCTGGCGGCCAGGGTCGAGGCGCTGGCCGAGGCCGTGCGCGAGCGCGAGGCCGAGATTGCCCTGTGGCGCGCCTCGTCCCGCACGAGCGTCCGCGCGGCGGAGAACGAAAGCGACGACATCAAAGAAAAGAACGAAGACGGCGACGCCAACAAAGAAAAGAGCGAAGGCGAAGAGGCCCGGGTCCAGACGGGGCAGGAAAAGAACGAAGAAAAGAGCGAAGCCGAAGAGGCCACGACCGAGGTCGTCGTCTACAAGAAGAACGAAACGGTCGACGCCTCGTCGTCGGAACGGCTGATGGAGGAGATCATGGCGCGCAACCGGCGGGTGGAGGAGCTAGAGCTGGAGGTGCGCGAGCGCGGCGAGGTGATCGAGAAGCTGATGATGGAAGTGCGTGCCCGCGAGGAGGAGAAGGAGCGCGAGCGCGAACGGGCCGACGCCGAGAGCTGGTGGACCGAGGAGCGCCAGCGCCTTCTCGGCCTCATCGGCACACCACCACCCACCGCACCCGATGCTGACGTCAGCACTGCCGCGTCAACACCCACCACGCCCACCACCTCCACCGAGCCGGCGCCTGCTGAGCCCGACGTTGCCAGGGGAAACGTTGCCGAGGTCGAAGAGCTGAGAGAGCGTGCGCAGCGGCTCGAGGCGGAGAAGGCGGCGCGCCGAGAGGAGGAGCACATCGGCGAGGAGCTCATCCGTCTGCAGGCCCAGCTCATCGCCCACATGGTCGGCATGGTCGCGGCCGATCCCACCGCCGCCGCCACCACCACCGCGGCCCAGCCGTCGCGCGAGGACCAGGCGGCCGAGGTGCGCCAGCTGCTCGAGGAGCTGGACTACCTGGCCCGCAAGCGGCAGGCGCTCCTCGCGGCCCGCAAGGAGCTGGCGGCGGCGGCCGACGCTGACGGCGGCGCCGCTGAGACGCCGGCCGTCCGGGCGAGGCGTGCGACGACGGTCATGGCGATGAGGCGGCGCTCGATCTTCCCGGCCGGCGCGGCCCCGCCGCCACTGCCCTCGCTGCCGTCGCTGGCCTCCTCGCTCGAGAAGGCCGCCACGTCATCAGTTGTTAATGAGGCTGCTGACGTCAGCAAGCCCGAGAAGGACGACGCCGCGCCTGATGACGACGACGATGAAGGGGAAGAGGAGGTGAGGCCAACGGTGGTGATCGGCGACAAGCGGGATTCGGGTGGGCGGGAGCGCTCGAAGAGGCTGTCGTCACCGCTGTCGCCTCCGCCGCCGGACGGTCCCCTCATGCGGGCCAAGGAGAAGAAGATCCGCAAGCTGACCGCCAAGCTGGCCAAGAAGAAGATGGAAGGCCGCGGTGCGCACACGACACACAACACACGACACGCACACGATACACGACGCACGACACTCACTGGGGGGGGGTGACGACGTGCATGTGCAGAGGTTACGGTGGGGGCCGGACCGGAGTGGGTGCTGGACGTGATGGTGCCGGAGTGCGTCGGCTGCCACGCGCAGTTCACCCTCATCAAACGCCGACACCACTGCCGCAACTGCGTACGTCTCCCCCCAACGCCGCACACGCGTGCATTGTTGCGTGTGCAGCGGCCGCCGTTCGCTGATCGTCGCACGAGTGTCGCACGACCGATGGCGCAATGAGATGACTCAAACGAGTGTGTTGTGTGAAACGTTGATTGTCGCACAGGGCAAGGTGTTCTGTGGGAAATGCACATCGCTCTCGTGCAGCATCGAGGAGCTGGGCTACACGGAGCCCGTGCGCGTGTGCGAACCCTGCTTCGCGGTCCTCCACACCAACCAGCGGCGGCGGCCATGGTGATCAGTTTTTTTATGTCCGAACCAAAAGAAGCGAAAGCGAAAGCGAAGAAAGAGTAGGAATGACGAAGAACGAAGAAGAAAAGCGGCGAGGGAAGGCGAGAAGGGAGCCGGTCGCGACATCCGGAGGCGTAGCCGACTGTCGGGCGATAAGAGAGAAGGGCGAGTGACGCCGCGCAGATCCAGCCACGGGCTGGAGAACACGAAGACGAGACTATTCTGCGGATAGCGCAGCGGAAGTTGGCCGCGAAGGCCAATCAAAATCGGAAAACAAATTTGTAGAATAGAAAAGTGGCAGGTACGAAGCGTGGAGGACACCATATCTGCGCCGCATGTCACAACAAGCACGCGGGCCGCGTGACCCAATACGGCTCAGCCGACGGCAGATCGTGGCTCGTTCACCCTTGTTGCAATGGTGCACGACATCAGTACAACGTAACCACGAAATACATCGTGAAAGCCCTTAAGGTCTTTTTACCTTTGCGCCGCCATTGGTCTGCTTTACGAGGTCTACTTGCCATCAACTTGCCACCCTCTTTCCCAATCTCTTCTGATATGGGTAGATAGTGTTTTGGAATGTAAAACATACACGGTGTGGATGGCAGGCAGATGCCACAAATACCAAGAGGCACTCACTCGTCTTGCTGACGTCAGTTGGGCGTAAGCCTTGCTAAAGGATGCGTGATGGCCGTCCGACGGAGACCAACGCCGTAGCGGGACCGTCGAGACCAGTCGCACTCTAGTTCCACGCAGCCCACAGCACACCACACGTGCGGACCCAGCCCGAACGCTCTCACTCCCCATCCCCGCGCGCAGAGGGTCACACATAAAAGCCCAAGCAGAGTGAGCCACCATTCTTCTTCACTCGACCATCAACTATCGACCAGCAAGCACCACATCTACTACTCTCTTCTTCCATCTTCTGTTCCTACCACAACAATGATGGGCTTCAACCACGACCACGACCCGTACCACACCATCGACGACCAGCGCTGCCGGCAGTCATCGGACAGCATCCTGTACGGCCTGCTCGAGGAGCAGCTGGCCGGACTCGACCACCACAACCAGCACCCCAACCACAACCTCACCCGCGCCCCTGTGCTGACGACCAGCACTGCGCCCCCCGCGGCCGTATCGGACTCGATGACCCCGGTGGCGTCGCCCGACCTCCTGCCCTGCGCCACGTCGTCCGACTCGCAGTCGCGTTCGTCTTCGTTTTCGCTTTCGCGTTCGTCTTCGTTCTCCGTACCGGCCCTGGGCGCGACGGCCTCGCCGAGCCTGGCCGAGGTGTTCCTCCGCGGCGCGTCGAACCAGAAGGAGGCCCTGCAGCAGTACCTCATGGGCCTCGCCGACACCACCAGCGCCATCTCATCGGGCGGCAAGCGGAAGCGAAAGAACGGAGACGGCGGCGACTCGAAGAAGAAGCGAAAGTCGCGACGGACTGCCGCGTCGGCCGAAAGAACGAAGGCCAAGTCTGCGGAAAGAGCGAACAGAGCCGCGGCCCAAAGAACGAAAGCGACGGCGACCGTTGCGACCGTTCCGGAGACCACCACTGCAGTGATCGCCTCCCCCCACCTGAACGACCCCGCGGCCGCCGCCACCTCCACGCCCGTCGTGTCGTCGCCCGCCGCCGTCCCCTACTCTTCGCCTTCGCTCTATTTCTCGTCCATGCCTTCGCCTTCGTCTTCGTTCTCGGCCTCGTCGACCCCCTACCCCGGCTACCCGACGCCGACCACCTCAACTCCGTCGTACTACTACCCCAACGTACTGTTCGACGCGCCGCCGCCGGCCGCGGCGTACCAGCAGCAGCCGCGCTACCAGCCGCAGTACGAAGACGACGACTTCTGGCTCGACGTGGAGGCCGTCGGGCTGACCCAGCACCAACAGCGCGACGCGTTCTACAACTCCTCGTTCTGCGAGCTCGAGCGATTCCTCCTCGAACACGACCTCTAAGCCCGACACTTGCCGAGGAGACGACCAACGCACACCACACACCATATTTATTTTTAATAGTTTCCTGATCGGAGGAGGCGTCGACTGGCCCGATATCTGGCTACTTGTGCTTCACCTCAAAGCTCGCAAACAAACACATAAAAACAAACATTGTACATCATTCTTCACACTTTCTTCTCATGTTCGCACGTGCGCAGAGTAAAGCGCCAAAAAAAGCAAATAAAATAAATAAAAATAAAAAACAAAAACTGGCTGGCGATAATTGAAGATAAATCAAGTTCTGAATGGAGAGAGCCTTCGCGGGCCATCACCATCCATCATCGAATGGGGCCGTGGGTGGGGCGCAGTACTCGCCGCAGGTCCTGCAGGCTTGCCCGTTCCTATCTCAGCAGGCACGCCTCGCGGCAGATCGAGATCGGTCATCCCCGCCCCCCTCGTCATCGCTCTCGGACCCTGTGCCCCCGTCCTCCTCCTCCTCCTCCTCTTCTTCGACCTCTTCCTCGGCATCTTCATCTCCAGTCCCTGCTCGAGGTACAGTGTAGCCCCTTCCTTCGATTGTTCATCTCAATTTTTCTCATTTTACTCGTTTGTTTCATCTTGATCGATCGCCGCGTAGCGCCGACCCCCAACCATCAGCAACCGGGCGTGGCCACGATGATGGGACACCCGCTCGTGCACAACACGTCGCTCAATCTGCGGCTGGCCGCAGCAGCTGCCGCCCATCAGCATCTCCTCTCCACTGCCGACGGAGCTCGTGCTGGTCCTCCCGTGGCCATGCCACGACCTGGTCCCCTCATGAACTTCATGCTGCCCACCTCTCCTTCTTCTTCATCTTCTTCTTCCTCTGGCCTGTCCTCTCCACCATCAATGACGACACAACAACAGCAGCAACTACATCAGCCGTCATCATCAACATCAACGCCATCGTTGTCGTCGTCTTCTTCTTCAACGACCACAGTCACCACCGGGCCGTCGTCGGCCATGAGCCACCTGGACCCGCAGCGCGACTGTTGTCTGGCGACGTGCGGGCACATGTGCACCCTGTGCCGGCCCATCGTCCAGCAGCTCATCACGCTCTGCCAGGTCTGCATGACCAAAGACGTGCCCCACCCGGTACAGCGTCGTGTCGTGTCTTGCGTCTGCGGTCGTGCGTGTGTCGTGTGTGCCATGAAGCTGATCGTGTGTGTGTGTTGTGTGTTGTGTGTTGTGTGTTGTGTGTTGTGTGTTGTGTGTTGTAGGACCTGATCGGTTGCATCCGCGCGCTGCTGCCCGTGATGACGGAGAACGACGTGGGCCGGTTCCGTCAGTACCTCCAAAACGAAAAGGTGGAGTGGGTCAAGGAGTTCATCATGTACGACACACACACCCGCCCACCCGCCGCACGACACGCAGAACACGACACGTCAGCGAACGATGTTTTTCATTTATTTTTATAACTTTATTTTTACTTTTGAAGGTATATGACGGTCACCTTCGGGTCTGTCATCTTCCTGGAGGAGCTCTTCGTGCATCGGCAGGAACTGCGCCAGCGGGCCGTGAGCGACGGCATTGCGCTCTGCCTCGCCGCCGGCGCCGGTACTCCCTACCACCACCACCGCTGCGTGTCGTGTCGTGTCGTGTCGTGCCTTGTACCGTATCGTGTGCGTGTGCGGTGGTGCGTGTGGGCTTGGAGCTGATGATGGGATGTCCGCGTGGGTGCGCAGGTAAGGTGGACATGGTGACGTATCTGCTCGGGCAGGGCAGCGACCCGAACAAGGCCCCGCAGGTGGTCAACAGCAACCTGTCCGGCTTCTCCCTCTTCCCCCCGCAGCAGCCGCAGCCGCAGCCGCAGCAGCCGACCCCCGGCGGCGCCACAGCGGCGGCGGCCGGCCCCGCGCCTCCGGGCCAAGCCCCGCAGCAGCAGCAGCGGCCTCGACCAGGCCCCGACCACGACGGCGCCCTGCAGCCTCCGGCGGAGAAGCGAGGGCACACGGCGCTGCACTACGCGGCGCACAACGGGCACGCCGGGTGCGTGTCGCTGCTGCTGCGCTACGGGGCAGATCCCAACGTGCGCGACGGCGACGGCATCACGCCGCTCCACTCGGCCTCGCACAACGGCAAGTTCGAGAGCGTGCTGCTGCTGCTCCACTTCGAGGGCGACGACGACACCATCGACGACGAGGCCGACGAGGCCGACGACGAAGAGGCCTGCGAAGTCCGCGAGGTCAGCGACCTCGACGCCGCCCACTACGGGCGCCGGCAGGAGATCGGCGAGGAGCGAGAGCCCACCTCGGTCGTCAAAGCCAAGAAGCCCTACGCTCGGGTACGCACACACGCGCACACACCGCACACGCACGACACACGCACACACACACACACACACACACACACACACACACACACACACACACACACACACACCGTTACTGATGCCCACACGGCGCCGTGCAGAATCGGGCAGAGGTGGACGCTCGTGACCGATGGGGCGACACTCGTACGCCGCCTCTCAATTCTCTTTGCCCGGCGTGTGTCGTATCGCGTGTGCCACGTCGTGTGTCGTGTCATGGTGTGTGTCGTGTGTCGTGTGTTGGTGCTGACCTTGGGCGATACGTGTGTGCAGCGTTGCACAAGGCGGTGGTGAACGGGCACACGGCGTGCGCGGAGATCCTGCTGGGGTTCGGGGCGCAGATCAACAGCCAGAACATGGGCGGCGACACGCCCTTCCGCAAGGCCGTCTACCACGGCCACACCGACTGCGCGCGCATGCTCGTCGAGAAGGGCGCCGAGTACAACCTCGCCTCCGAGAAGAACATCTCCCCGCTCCACCTCGCCGTCTTCAAAGGTTCGCTCATCTTTCTTCTTTCTTCTTTCTTCTTTCTTTCTTTCTTTCTTTCTTCTTTATCTTAATCGTAGTTGGCCGTGTGTGTGTGTGTGTGTGTGTGTGTGTGTGTGTGTGTGTGTGTGTGTGTGTGTCGTGTTGTGTCGTGTTGTGTCGTGTTGCAGGGCATTGGGACTGCGCGGCGCTGTTGCTGGAGAAGGGGGCCGACGTGAACTACAAGGACGAGAGCGACATGACGCCCCTCTTCTTCGCCGCTGTCAACGGCCACGGCCACTGCATCGAACTCCTCCTCGACCACCGTACACCTCCCCCTCCCTCCCCCTTCTTCCGCGCGTGTCGTGTCGTTGGTCGTGTCGTGTCGTGTCGTGTCGTGCGGTGGTTCGTGTGCTCACGGGCGCGCAGAGGCGGAGGTGAACCGGCAGGACAACGAGGGCAAGACGGCGCTGCACACGGCGGCGCGCAAGGGCTACAAGGACTGCGTCACGATCCTGCTCGAGCGCGGCGCCCTCATCGACGCCAAGGACGACGTCGGCTGGACGCCCCTCCACGAAGCCACCAGCGAAGGTTCCATCGACTTTCACCCCCCCCCTCACACCTCAACCGACGCCTTAACGCTCGTGCGCCGCGTGTTGGCAGGAAATATCGAGGTCGCGGAGATGTTGCTGAGGCACGGGGCCGGGGTCGAGGTGGGCGACAAGGAGGGCTGCACGCCCATGCACCTGGCCTCGCGCTGCGGCGACTCCGACTCGCTGCAGCTCCTGATCGAAGGCCCGCCCGATCACCACGACCACGACCACGACCTCGACCACCAGCCCAGCGACGCCGCCGGTCTGGGGCGCGCGTGGCGGCGGCCGGACGTCAACATCCGCGACGCGAGCGGCTGGACGCCCATCCACGAGGCCGCCAACGAGGGCAACACCCAGTGCATCCAACTCCTCCTCGACTATGGTGCGTGTCGTGTCGTGTGTCGTGTGCGTGTCGTGTGCGCGTGTGCGTGTGCGGCTGTGTGTCGTGTCGTGTCGTGTGTCGTGTGGTGGGGCTGATGAGAAGTGGGGCAGGGGCGGACGTGAACAGTCCGGACGCGGACGGGAACACGCCGCTGCACAAGGCGGCCGACAACGGCGCGCTCCCGTCGTGCATCCTGCTCGTCGAGCACGGCGCGCGCATCGACGTCAAGAACCACCTCAACTTCACCCCCTACCAACTCGCCACCATCAGGTGCGTGTGTGTCGTGTGCGTGTGTGCGTGTGTCGTGTGTGTGTCGTGTGTCGTGCGTGTGTCGTGCGTGGCTGATGAATGGCGGCGGCAGTGAGAGCATCGATTGCGCGGAGTACCTGCTGCAGCGCTACGACGAGATCCTGCGGGCCGAGCAGGAGAAGCTCGAACTCGACGGCGACCGCAGCCACCACCACCACCACCACGGCCACCATCACGACCACCACGACCAAAAGAACGAAGTCGTCGCCGCCAAAGAAAAGAGCGAAAGCGACAAAGCGCTGGCTTCGCTTCGTTCTTTTCCGGGAGCAACAGCGGCGGCGGCGGCGGCGGCGGACGACGACGAGGAGCAGGAGGGGATCGAGCGGAAGCTGGACGACGAGCGGCGGGTGACCGACGAG